GCTCCTCCCCCTGCAGCTTCCCTTTGGTCAGGCACGAGCATGTTGGTTTCCTGTGGTTGCCTCCACAGGAGCTGCTTGTGGTCTTGGGCACAGCCTTTGTGGCTCTCAGTGCACAAGCCAACCCTGTTGCTGGACTTGGTCCCTGCAGGTTATAGGTGCCTCAGACCTCACTCATTTGCTCTTCTCCGTACAAAGCCAGCACTCAAAGGCTGGTCTGAAGTGTTGTAGGATCTCACTGCTCAAGCAGCAGGCTGAGGAGGCCGTCCTGGGCTCCAGAGACCCCATCAAAGCCCCTCCTGGCAGAGTAAAGGTGCTTATCATCCAACCCATGCCAGATCCCCAGAACCCACATACAACCCCAACAGGACCTACAAGGTTCCACCCTCTGTGTTTTTGTTGTTGCGGTTTGTTTTCAATTTTTTTTTTACATGTTTTATTGTTCTGTTCACATGTCTGCACCATGAGTGTGCCTGGTGCCTGCAAGGGCCAGAAGGGCGTCAAGTCCCCTGGAATTAAAGTTGCAATGGTTGTGAGCCTCTATACCGGTGTTTTTCTTTCTTTCCTTCCCCTCCTCTTCTTTCTTTCTTTCTTTCCTTCCTTCCTTCCTTTCTTTCTTTCGTTTTCTTTCTTTCTTTTCTTTCTTTCTCTTTTGTTGTTGTTTTTTTGAGGCAGGGTTTCTCTGTAGCTTTGGATCCTGTCCTGGAACTAGCTCTTGTAGACCAGGCTGGTCTCAAACTCACAGAGATCCACCTGCCTCTGCCTTCCGAGTGCTGGGATTAAAGGCGTGCGCCACCACTGCCCAGCAGGTGTTGGGAATCTTAAGAGCAGTCAGTGCTCTGAACAGCTGAGGACTTAGGGGTTTTGCAAACCTAACACATTAGTTCATGGTACTGATTCAAGTTTTCACTACTGGGCTTCCTTCACAGGCTCTAGGAAGGCCAGGTGAGCTACGGGGTCCCGGAAAGCCTGTCCAGTGGCAGAGGTGGGTGGGATAGAGGAGAGCACCTACCTCATTCTCACTGAGGACAGTCACACCGAGGGCAGTGAGCACTGAAACTTCAGTGCGGCTGAACAGAGGGTCATAGACCCAGCAGTGGCCTCTGGGGATCTGGATGGGAAGAGGGCTGCTTTAGTTCAGGCACACCACCACCATGCCAGGGGCAGGAGACAACAAAGCTCACCTGGCACTTCTCCAGGAAGAGAAGCATGAAAGCAAGCTGAGTCCGGGCAGTGGCGCAGGAGGCAAAGTTCCCGAGGCCATAGCACACACACGTCACAGGGAAGGGGCTCGTGACTGGAGGCTCTCCCGACCCACCAGACGAGGAGCTGAGCTTCAGTCTTCCAAGGGCTTCTGTTAGGCCCTGCAGTTGCTCCAGCTGTTTTCTAAGACACTGGGTGATGGTTTCTGAAAGATCATTTCCCCAAATGTGGTCATAGCATGGGACAACAGGCCTCAACACCCAGAGCAAAGCTGCCTGAGACCTATGTCCAGGCCACTGGAGGTGGGATCCTGAACTCAACTGTTCCAAAACTAAGAGCTTTATGTGTAAAAGGTTTACATCTAAAACCATGTGACTGAGACGTCTGTGCTGAGTGTCAGGAAGCAGTGTGCAGGATGCAGATGGCCTCTAAAGAAGGAATTGAGTGGCTAGGTTCAAAACCACTGTCTCCACCACCTCCTGGCCCTCCATTTAGGTTACCATCAAAAACAAAAGACGCTATTTGTCCCCGCACTGAGCAAGCTGCTTTTGATCACCAAGGTGGCAAATCTATCTCTGCACAGGTTCCCCAGGTGACGAAAGGCTGTACACGAAACTGTCTATGTCCTTGCTGGGAAGAGAACCCTGAAACACTCTTCGATGGTGGCTTGATGCTGCCTTATATTTAACAATCCAACTCTGGGGAATGCAGCCTTCAGATGAGATGCACTGAGTGATTAAAATGGGAGCTTCTGATACAAAGTGTAAAGACGGTCCGTCCTTCACTAAGAATCATGCTGGCACACACTGTATTAAGACATAACTGCAAAGGGGACAGTCTGCCCTGTAATGTCAAGGAAAAAGCAGGATAAAAAGAAAATTTAGCCATCCTGATTATGACATTTATTGCCTTTGGCGTGACAGCCAAGCAATTATCACCTTATTTAATTCTCATAACTACAGGATTTATAAACGGCAGGATACATACACTACCATCTCCCCTTCAGATTTAGCTAAGTGCTAAAGAAAGGCCGTGGAGCAAAACACCCTTCAAGGAAGAATGTCCTCTGCCCTCCTTCCACTCCCATGCCACCACCCATGCCAGATGTACTCACCCAGTGCTGAACTGCAGAAATCAGAGATTTGAAGATCCTCCCTGAGAAGAAAGGGGATGGTCATCTCCTGTCTCTTTTAGGCCACCCTAGCCCTGACCATGAGCCATATACATGGAGGATGTAGGACTGTCTAATGCAGAGCTAGCCCTTACTGAGTGACGTGCCCATGGCCTGGATGCAGACTGCTGAGATTTAAAAAAAAAAAAAAAAAAAAGGACCTTCATGTAGAGGCCCTGGTCCTGGTTTCCCAGGGATGGTCTGGGTCTGTTCTGCATCTTTGGCCTGGCAGAGATGCAGCTCAATAGATACCGGGAAGTCACTGAATACAGCCTTTCTGAAAACTCAGTTTCCTTCTCTCAAGACTGTAACTAGCAGGGGGGACGAAGTGAGCTACCCAGCAGGCACTCAAGAAACAGCTTTCCCATGATAAATAGTCGAAGAGAAAGTCCAAGGGTTGGGTCTTTATTCAAGTCAACTGCTTTCTACCGCCTAGGGCAAAGCAATCAACAGTGAAGAGAACACTCTAAGACAGTGTTTAGGGGACACAAGAGGAAGGAGCCCACCTGCCCCGAGGTGACCTATGTTCCTCACAAGGGAAAGAAGAACCTAATACATTAAAGCACTTTGAAAATATAGGTAGTCCTGGGTCTGAGTCTCTATGCTCAGGAATCAGGAGTGATAATCACACCCCAGTAGGGTGCTGGGAGAAGCGGGGAGCTCTGGGAGATTCTGAAGAAGCTGAGGGAACACTGACTATCTGGTGAGGGCCTTGAGCATTTTTGGGGCCTAGGCCCCTTCATCTCCCCGATCTTCAGAGACTGGAGATCTCCTGCTTGCTTCTGTTTGCCCCCTCAGCCACAGCCAGTAATTTCTGTTCCAAGATAACTTCTGGGTCACCACTGTTTTTTGAGCCTAACGTAGCACGCTCGTCATAGTATTCCTACCCATCTGAAATGCTACCCAAATCTGTAACTTAGCTCTGTGAGATCACAACCAGAAAAGGCAAGAACACAGAGTAACCTGTGTATGGCGGGCACTGTCTATGTGTCCTGTAATGAGGCACGGTCCAAGATGTAGGGAGATGGTTGTGGAGGAAAGTACAGAGCAAAGGAGAGGTGGAAGCATGGGGTTTGATTCACCAAGGCCTGGGCCTGCAACAATTATCTTTGAATGTCTCTTTGAGTGTCCAAGATCCTAATGGAGCTGTGAAGTGTGTAGAATGCGATAGTCTGTGCACACAGCTGCTGCTCAGTATACCATTGATAACAATATTGACAACTGTGTTCACGTTGCAACCTCAATTTACAATAGCATTAATCAATGTGGGGTGTGGTCCACACCTGTAACTGCAGCATTAGGAGAGACAGAGGCAGAATCTCCTCCAGTTCCAGGCCTGCTGGGTTAGCCTAAGCTATAAATTGAAATCCTGTCTCACAAAACACAAAACCAAAGCTGGGACGGTGGCTCACAAGGTGAAAGCCCTGACACCAAGCCTGACAACCTGAGTTTGATCATTCTAACCCATGCAGTGAGAGGAATGGTCCTCTAAGCTCCACATATTCACCGTGACATATGCCCGACTCAACCTCAAATATATAAAACCAAAAACCAATTAAAGAAAACAATCAATATAGGGTATAACACGAACACGAAATTCACACCCCGGAGCTTACCAGGTACCAGGAAGTACTTTATGGTCAATACATCACCTAATGCTCTGAGCAACCCTACGTAATGTTTCCACCTCAGTCTCAAAAACGGCAAACAGAGGCACAGAATGCCAAGCTGTCGTAACTGCAGTAACGGGAATGGCAGCTTCACCGATAGCTGCTACAGTGCAATCGGGCGGGAGCTCAGCATTCCCCTGCAGGTTGGCACACCCACTTTCGGTTGGAGTGGCCTCAACGCGCTGCACTCACTTGGCCTCCCGCAGGCGGCGCAGCACAGCCTCGCCGTCCGGCTCCTGCTCGGTTTGAGGCCCACGCACACGTCCCTCGACCCACCGCGGTCGCCTCCCCACTGAGCGCTTCTTCCGCGGAGCCACGGCCCTCCAGTGCTCCGGAGCCGCCACGGTGGCCGCCATGCCACTGACGTCACCATTGCGCGCCAGAGCGGCTGCCGTGCCTATGGCGTCGCGTCACACTCGTACGTCATCGCCGAGCCTCTAGAGGCGGGAGGTGGGACCGCGCGTGATCGTGGGGCTGCTGAGTGTAGGTATTGGGTGCTGGGGTGCTGTCGCGCAGGCAGATCGGAGCCCGGGCTCCCGGCGGGCGGGTGGGTGGGCGGGCGTGAGACCCGAGCGTTCGGGCCGCCTCTTCCCGGCTCCCACGACCCTCAGCCCGGCTCCTGACGCCTGGGGGCCACTTCCCACGCCTCCCTCTCGAGGCGCGCCTGGACCATCCTTTTGCTGTCACCTCCCAGGCTGCCAGGACCTTTTCAGGTCACTCGCCACAAGATGATCACTGACCTCATCTGGACCTTTGAGAACTAGCTGCTTGGTCCTCCGACCAGGCTTTTGGGAAAGGGAGGAGTGGGTTCAAGACCTGAGATGCCCCGGCACAGATGCCCTGTGCACTCCCTGGAGCCAGGTGTCTGTAACTGAGATGACAGGTTTTTAGGCCTTCCTCAGGTTCATAGGGGATCTCCCTCAGGCACTTCCTTCTTCCTGGGGACTTTTCTTGCTTTTAAGACAGGGTCCATGACTGGCCTGGAACTCAGCAATCTGCCTGCCTTTACCTCCCTCTCTTTTTCCCTAAAGATACTTTAATATCCACAGATGGCAGAATTGTGGCTAGCTATGGAGACCGTGTCCCTGAGGGAATTAACCGGAGAAGTGGGAATAGGATCGTAGATGAAAATTAGTGAAGGGTTGTCAAGTGGACTAAACCATTTTTGTGTTTCCTCCTGGTGTGTTATCCCGGCAGTGGAAGATTACTGTCAGGAGATTTTGTAATTTTAATGCCGTGAACCACCTTTTTCTGGACAGTTCCCTCAGAGGAGCCAAGGATTAGAGTAGGTGAGGCTAGGCTCCGTTCTGACTGGGTATTCTGCGGTCTACTGAGTTGTCTTCTCCCAGGTCGAGTTGGAATTGAAGGGCACTCTGAAAGTCTTCTTGCACCCTGAAAAGCTGCACACATTCAGATTAGGCTTTCGAGTGCCAGTTCCTTAATTTAGGTTCCATTATCACATTGGCAGCTGTTTGATTTGTGTGGCTCTTTAACATCCAGAATCTTCACACTTGTTATTTAATTTTCCTTTTGCAAGGCTGACAGTGTTTTCTGCTGAAAAATGAGGGGGCTTTGAAGTCTCTGCTACCCACCTTTTTTTAATTTTATTTTGAAATATAGTTTTGAAAGCTGTTTTGAAATCAACTGTTCATTGAACCTTGTGGGTCACATGCATGTTCTTTGGTTTCTGAAAGAATTGATTCTTTGTGTTTCCTCACAGCCGAGGCACTGGTGTATGAACTGTTTGAAGGAATTCACTGGATGGCTTTCAGCTCTTCCTAGTTAGAGATCCTGTCAGAAGCTGTGCCCATCTGACATGCTTCTCTCTCTCATGGACCTCCCCGAGAGGAGGTGGAAGAGGTCCCAGTGCAGACAGCCACATGGATGCTCCTGAAACCAGACTACGGATTCGACTTGGTGAATAGATTTAGTTCATCTTCAGTCTGTTTCCCCCTGAACTTCTCAGAGATGCGGAGACACTTCTGGAAATGAAACTGCTCCAAAGGGAAGTTGCATTTTCATATTGAATGGACGGACAGTAAGCAAGTGGCAGAAAGTACTTGACGGGCCCACACCTGGAGTCACTGGACTGGGGACACCAGTGAGCGTGGAGAAGTTCTTCTCGGAGGAATACCAGATGAGAAGGATGAGGCCAACTGGAGAGTAAATGGCCACCCCCACCCCCTCAGAAACAAAGTCAGCCTCGTGGTGAGTGTCAAGGCCTGCCTAGAGGTGTTTCTGGGATCGTTTGAGTGCACTGGAAGCTTGGGCCAGCTGCTTTGCTGTTCTGCTTAGAAAAACCTCATTAAACGTGGGAACCATTTCTCTCCAATGCTGATGTGTTGGGACCTTACAAGTTTTTGGTTGGGGATATAGCCCAGTGGTAGAGTGTCCACCTAGCATCTGAGAGGCCCTGGGTCCCATCCCTAGTACAGCAAGGATAAGCGTAACCCAGAACACCTCTCAGACTGCACCTCAGGCATTGTGGGTAGATGACTGTGACGGCGCAGCCAGTCTGATCGCCTGGGTGTGGCTGTGTCTGGAGAGGCAGGATGGTTACAGTTGAGGTTTAGCCAGTCTGGCTCCTAAGGCTATTGCACAATGTCTGCCTGACATGTTTTCCTTGTGTGCCCTCCGTAGCTTCATCCTTTCTCATAACCTGGGTCAGCAAATGCTCCTGAGGTGACAGTGTAAGGTGTGGCTAAACAAGACTCAGCAGACCTAGCAACTGAGTAACTGTGGATCCCTTCCAAATGATGCCTGAGCTACAGTGAACCTAGAGGAGCAGGGCCGATTTCAGAGTGTGGGGAGGATGTGGGGTGAGTGGGTGGTCCATGGTGGGCTCTGGAAATTCACAAGGGCATTTGGTCACCATCTAACCTGCAGCTGGCCAGTCACACATTGAGTCCTATAGCTTGAGAAAACGGATGATGCTGGGACAGGTGTCTGTCATGAGAACGGGGAAGTGGGAGGTCCAGGGGAGGGCCTCGAGTCCTGTGAAAACAGCTCCAGTGACAGCGCTGTGTCCCCTTGATGGGCTCTTCTGGCCTGGTCGGTGTGCTTTCTGAGTCTAAGAAGTAAAACTGAAGGCCTGTCTCTGCCTAGCTCACCTTGTGCAATCAGGTGATGTCAACTTCAGTCCTGGCTGAGCCTGTAGTCCCAGAACTTGGGAGGGAGGTAAAGGCAGGAGGCTCTGGAGTTTGAGGACATTCTAGGCTACAGAGTGAGACCTGTCCGGGTTGGGTGGAAGTCTTTAGGAAAGTGCAGAAGGTACTAGAAATTCCAAAGAAAGATTCCTTTACGCTGAGGATTCTGGAAGGGTGGGGAGGAAGCAAGATTGAGCTGCTGGCAAGGTTTTGAGACCAGAGAACAGTTTGGTGTTTTTCTGTCAATTTTCAGAGGCTACTGTTTCCCATTATAGAAGGGCATGTCTGCTGCAGGCCCTCTGTACACATTACAGAAGGGCATGTCTGCTGCAGGCCCTCTGTACACATTACAGAAGGGCATGTCTGCTGCAGGCCCTCCACACACATTACAGGAGGGCATGTCTGCTGCAGACCCTCCACACACATTACAGAAGGGCATGTCTGCTGCAGGCCCTCCACACATTACAGAAGGGCATGTCTGCTGCAGGCCCTCCACACACATTACAGGAGGGCATGTCTGCTGCAGGCCCTCCACACACATTACAGGAGGGCATGTCTGCTGCAGACCCTCTATACACATTACAGAAGGGCATGTCTGCTGCAGACCCTCTGTGCACATTACAGAAGGGCATGTCTGCTGCAGGCCCTCCACACACATCTGTTAAATGAATCTGAGTTCTCAGGAAAGGGCTGCTTTCTACCAGCAGGCTCAGGAGAAGTGCAGTGAAGACCTAGAGAGACAGCAAGAAAGCATGGCAGCATGTGCAGCTGGGGGTGCAGCTGGGGGTGCAGCTGGGGGCGCAGTTGGGGGTAAGGGTTTCACACAGCAGTTTGCAGTGGGTGATCTGGTTCCCTGCAGGGATGACTGCTTCCTCTTGCAGATAGGCTGATAGCTGGGTCCAGGCAGATCTTTAGTCTGCCTGTGTTGCACTTGCAGTGGGTTTATCTGCTTGTGGCTGCTGGGCTCTTCCTGGCAGCTAAGCATCCAGCCTTCGCAGAGCCAGAGACAAGAGAGGAAGTGTCACGAATTTAGCATTGTCACCAGCAGAGACCCATGACTCCGTTCTGTTCTCTTACCAGGTGGAACTACTTTTTTCTGTATGATGGTTCCAAGGTAAAGGGGGAAGGAGACCCTACTAGAGCTGGCATCTGCTACTTCTACCCCTCCCAGGTAAGCAGGACTGTCGATACACATGGCCTCTTTTAAGACATGTTGGATATGAAATTCAGGGCCCTATGCATGCTCCGCTCTCTCCAGTCCTCTTTCTATCTGTTTATCTTTTGAGTTTCGAGGCAGGTTCTCACTGAGTTCTCGGCCTCTGTCGCTGCTGGGCTGACAGGCTCATGCCCTTGTCTTGATCTTAATTCCCAAGCAGTTCAGCCCTCCCTTTTCCTAGCTCTGTTGGAGTGGGAGGGTTTTTTTGTTTTGTTTTGTTTTGTTTTTCAAGACAGGGTTTTTCTGTAGCTTTGGAGTCTGTCCTGGAACTAGCTCCTGCAGACTAGGCTGGCCTTGAACTGGGTTGGGATGACCACCTTCTCATGGTGACATCAGTGACATCTGTCATCTGATTTCCTTCCACCTTCCGCTCTAGATCCCTGACGAGGTTCATGGTACTCTCTGTGAGGCAGGATGTCATCATGGATGGCAGGTGCACTTCCTGTTACATCCTGTCCTGTGTGGCTGTGCCGTGGTTCAGGGCATGTGTGCAGCCACTCATGGTGAAGCCCTGATTTTCTGTCTGTGTTCACTGTGGGGTTCTCTAACAGCCCGTTACCCCAGCAGTGCCTTTATGAAGGCCCCACTCGAGAGTCACCAGGACTCCACAGTGTACTCCCCTTTGCTGGCTCTCTTGTGTGGTGGGGAGTGTTGGAGATGATAGTATCTTGCCCTATGGCCCATTCTCTTGTGTGGTGCGAGTGTTGGAGATAGTCTCTTGCCCTATGATCCAGGCTGCTCTTGACTCTTTTTTTTTTACATTTATTTTATGCATTTGAGTGTTTTGTCTACATGTATATATGTGCCTGGTGCCCACAGAGGGCAGAGGAGGTGTCACATCCCCTGGAACTGGATGGTTGCAGATGGTTGTGAGCCACCATGTGGATACTGGGAATCGAATTCCAGTCCTTGGAGGAGCAATCAATATTCTGAGCTGATGAGCCACCTCTCCAGTCCCTGCCCTTGAACGTTGGATTCTTTTGTCAGTGGGATTATAGGCATAAACTACCAAGCCCAGCTGTTGCTGGTTCTTATGATCCAGTTCCAGTGCAGTCAGGGCTACAAAATATGACACTATCTTAACAACAACAACAACAAAACCCAAAATACACATGCACAACTGGCCAGATGGCTTTAGCAGGTCAAAACATAAACCTCTGGAACCCGTAGTGGAAGAGGAAATTAGCTGCCTAACTGGTCCTCTGGTCTGCACACTGCGTTGGTGCCTGTGCCCAGCTCCCACACGAGCTCATATAGAAACATATGATAATCATTATAAAAATTAGAGAATATAAGAACTATTCTCAGCCTGGAAAAATGGGGAGCAGGTGCTGGTCTGTGCAGAGCAATCAGATCAGACGTTGTCTGCTTCTCCCACAGACCCTACTGGACCAACAGGAACTGCTCTGTGGCCAGCTTGCCGGAGTTGTGCGCTGCCTGTGGGACCTTTCTGGTACTCCGCCCACACTCATCCGTCTGCGGAAGCTCAAGTTTGCCATCAGAGTGGATGGGGACTACCTGTGGGTAAGCTAAGTCTGAGGACATGGAGCTGGTGTTGGAGTCTGCGGTGACAACGGCTTGTGTCCTTCCTGGGACTCCAGCTGCTCTCCAGCTGCTGCGATAGAAGGGGGACTCTGCCGGGGCCTCACAATGTCAAGCCCCAGAGCCCTCTCCAGAACACCCCAGATACTCCCTGCTCTGGATGTGGCAGATTTCTTAGTATTATTTTTACTTATTTATATTTGTACATATCTGGTGTATGTGTGTACATGTGCATGCATATGTGCATGTATATGGAAACCCTGTTTGTAGCGTGCCCATTACTTTTCCTTGGTGAGCTGTTATCTCTTCTCTGTTTTGATGGGATCTAGTCAGTGTTATCCTCTGTTGCTGTTGCCTTCTGCAGTCTGAGAAACTATTGCCTACTATTTTGGTCACCAATTTTTAAAAAACAGTCTGATTGTTTTTGTTTCTAAATTTGTGTTTATAATCCCACCGGTTTTCTGGCTTTGGGTGGTGTGAGTGGACATCAATGGTAATTTTTTCTCATCCATTACCCAGCATTCCTTTGCCATTGCTGAGATCCCTAAGCACCTTTGTCAGGTGACTGAGCATGGGTCTGGGTCTGCGTGAAGATGATCAAGTCCCACATGCTGTGATTTCTAGTTTTGTGTGAGTCTTGGCATGGAGTATCTCCTGCAGCCTATCCCTTCCGCAGCGACTCTGACTGGGGATGCTGTTTTGTTTTCAACTGCAGTTAGTTTGTGGGCGTGACTGGGAGTCCTGAGTGGGTTGGGGGTGGGAGCAGTACTCGTATTACGTGTGCTGCAGCTCCCACCACAGGACAGCCTGGGCTCCTTTCCTTCCAGGTTCCTTGACGATGTCACATTTCTGGTGACTTCCGTTCATCCCATTGGTTCTAAGGCACCAGCAGCTATCTCTGCTGGTCCCAGAGCGGTGGTGGCAGGCCATGTGGCAGCAGGCAGTGGGCCCCAGGCAGAGCAGAGTAGGCTGCTGGTCCCCAAGCAATGGCTGGTTCCAGGCAGGGAGACACATGGCGGGCAGGCAGAAAACAGAAACATGGATAGACACGACATGCAGGGTGAGGTTGAATGTTTATTCAGGGGGTTATGGAGGAGGAAGGGTGAAGGGGGGGACAGAGAGAGAGGGAGAGAGAGAGAAGAGAAGAGAAGAGGAGAGGAGAAAGAGACAGAGAAGGGGAGAAGAGAGAAGTGTGGGAGAGAGGCAGAAGCAAAGCTGCCTCTCCGAGAGGAAGATGGAAAAGAGAGCCAGCTCAGGCCGGAAGCTGAAGATCAGCATGCCTCAGCAGATGGGGAGGGGAATGGGTGTGGCTTGTCTCTTAAAGGGACCAAAACCATAACAGTTAGAGTGAGGGGGCCAAGCCTGAGAGACAGGCCAGGCCAGGACCCCCTGCCCCTCTGAGAAGCTCAGTCCTCCATCCCCCTTGCTGCTTCTGTCCTCTGTATTAGCCTGATAGCATCTTCATTCCTTGTGTGCTACCCTCAACATCAGCTCCAGTCTGCTTCCTGGGACACGCAGCCATTACTTAGGATTGGTTCCTGGCCTGGCACCCAGTAGACGGCCCTGGGTTGGGTGTGGAGCCTGTGGCCTGTGGTTTGGGGGGTCGGTACTCCTGCTGCTGTAGGCGCTCCCTCCCCCGGGCCAGGGCCTCCAGGTACCACTGCTGCTCCTTCCACCGCTGCTTTCGCTGCTCCAGCTTCTCCCTCCTGGCTTCCAGCTCACAGAATTCCTTATCCAGCTGCCGGAGCTGTGCTCGCAGTTCCCTGTTCTCAGCACTGACACCCTGGCAGAAGTCCTTGTGAGCCTTTTTGGCCAGAGCCTCCAAGGCCTTGGCCTTCTTCCTCAGCTCTCTGGTGGTGTTCTCTCCTGACTCCAGCAGGTTCAGCTTCTCCACCTGCTTCTCTAGGGCGGCCCTTTCCTTCAGGAACTGGAAGTGTGCCTCTCTGTCCATCAAGGGGATGTCAGCTACTATGCTGGCTTTCTCCTGCTCTAAGGCCTGGAACTCTCTGTCCTGGCTCTCCTTTATCTGTGCTACAGGCCTCAGGGCATCCAGCTTCTTCCTGAAGCCTAGCTCTATCTTCCTGCCCTGCAGCAGCTTCTTCTGGAGGTATGCTGTGCGGGAGGTGAAGGTGCCGGCCAGCTCTCGCCTCCTGACCTCGATCTCCTGACACTGCTGTCTGTAGTCTTTCCACAGGGAGTCGTACTTCCTCTGGCTTTCTTCCTTCTTCTGCTTCAGGAACTCCAGGAAGTGCTTGTCCTCTGTTTGTTCGCACTCCACTTCCTTGATGTCCTTCATCAGTGCCCACCGCCGTCTCTTAACTGCTTCCATCTCCTGCTCCAGCTTCTGCATGGCCACCAGGGTCTTCTTCCTCACCTTCTTCTCCAGCCTGGTCATCGACTCTGGCTTCAGATAGCTGTTGAGAATGGTCATATATGGAGACTGTGCAGGAAGGGGTTGGGGGCCTTCCTCTCCTTTGGAATCCAGGCACTCACTGGGAGTGCTCTTCAGGTCTGTGTTGCTGATGCTGATCCCTGAGGAGCAGGTACTGGCCTCATGGACCTGCTTGTCAGAGGTGCTTTTGCCAATTAGGGGGAGTTCCTCCATTTTCTTCTGGTCCAGGAGAATCAGTTCTGGCCACCTCACCCGGAAGTCATACACAGCCTTCTTCCTGGCCAGGGAAGGCCTGTAATAGAGGCCTTGGTATGTCAATGCAGGCTCACCCTTCCTTGCAGGAAGTGATGGTGGTTCAACAGCCCCACCTCCCTGCTTGTCTTGGAAAAGGGTGACTCTTTTGCCCCTGGTGACCCTGGTGGTAGGGCCCTGGCCTTGGGACTCCATAGCCCCTCCCCTCCTGGGTGCAGGACTTTGCCCCTCCCAGATCCTATGGCCCAAGGCTTAGAAGCTCAGCACCTTATCCTGGCTATAGTAGTCCCTTTTGTACATTCTCTCGGCTCTATAGTCACTGGTAACCACCTCCTCAGTCTCCCCTGTGATGGGCCAGGGAGAGCAGAATGTGGACTGTTGGCTTAGTCATTAACCCTTAAGTGGCAGATTTGCCTGGTAGGCGGGGCTAGGGAGGGGTGGGGCTTGTGGCGGACTCAAGCCTAGATAGACCTTGAGACTGGAGCTACCAGGCTAGCCTACCGGGTACTGGCGTGGTTGGAAGAAAAGGCAGCGGTTCGGAGCCTGTGGCAGGTGGCACCTGGGCTTTCTTGGTCGTGCACGTCTGTTGTGTCGCTAGGCGCCAGGAAGACCCTTTGCACCTGTGACCTATCCTGTGCCGGTTGGACAGGAGTCCTGGGAGGGAGGGAAAGGTGCCAAGGACCCAGAGGCCCCCAGGCTTCTGACTTTGCTTTGCAGTATGGTGCAGTCTGGGTCCGTTCTGCCGGCCTCGGACTCCCTCCACGCTGGCTGAGTTCCCAGTGGCATGAGCGTCCTGATGCCATGGCTGTGGAAGGGTGGGGCTTACAGGGCAAGCTACCTCAGTTTCCCAGGAACTGGGAATTCCCAAGATTGCGCCCTGTGCATCCACCTCTGCACCGCGGTTACAGTGAAGTAAAGTAGTGAAGACCCAGAGTTTGGAGCGCTCTAGAGAAGGACTTGGAGGAAGACCTCCCACCAGCGGAGCAGCTGCCAGAGCAGAGGCCCCAGCAAGGCCACTGCGCTGATTGGCTCTCCCTGCTTTGAAGGATAGCTGTGACACAGGTTTCCTGCCTCCTGGCAAGGAGGCCTGTGGGGGAAGCTGGAAGCATCAGGAAGCACCACTCTCTCTTAGAGCCTTGGGAGGAGGCTTCTGGGATAGGCCATGTGTGGTTGATGCTCTTCTCTGTGCTACCACTGACCTCATCGCCTCCCTGCTCCCGGGCTTTTGGGTCTCAGTTCAGCGCTGCTGTGTGCTGCTCAGTGTGCAGACACAGACCAGGTGCCTGGGAAACGGTCGTGAAAAGGAGGAAGGAGAGTGACTGACAAGGAGGAGAAGCCTCAAGGACAGTAAGGACACTACCCGCACCTTTAATTCCAGCATTGGAATGGTGGTGGCAGAGGCGGGCAGATCCCTGTGGGAGTTTGCTGTCAGCCTGATCTATAGAGCTAGTTCCATAGGGCGACACAGTGAGACCTGATCTCAAAGAAAGGAAGGAAGGAACCTGGCACACTGTGTTTCAGTGATGGAATTAAGCACAGGCTTCTGTGACCTCTGACCTCCCCTCTGTCATCAACCATCACCTCCATCCTCAGTGTCAGTGCAAGGCCTTGTCCTGCGTTCAGATCTTTGCATCACCCTTACTAGGGGTCATGGTAACAGACTTGAGCACAGTTCCTGCCTAAGACCCCCACCTCACTGTTGCCACACACAGTGAAGAACTCTGCTGATCTGGGGAATAACAAGAAGCAGGTCATTTTCTCCCACGAGCAGGCGGACTGTGGTCAGCAGGGCTTGGAGAACAACACTAGCTTCAGGTGACCTCACTACCTTTGCTCAGCATCTTCTGCATCAAAGAAGAGGGAAAGACCCACGTCACATGCCCAGCTCACCACTGCACCGCAAACAGTGTTGTTAATGGAGCAGGGAAGCCGGCTGTAACTGCATGATTTGACTTCATAGTGAGACCCAGACTGGGAGAGCCATTTCATAGTAAAGATCTCTACCGCTCGTCTGCAGATCATCTTGTTGTGTTTATGGGAAGGAGCAGTGTGTCCTGCTCCCATTTGCCGTCTGGGACACCTCAGCTCTGCTTTGTAGCCTGGGCCCTAAATCACTGCATGTCTGAGGGAATTCTGTGTCCCTGAGAACACTGATGGAAATCTTCCGGGTCGCTCACACTTGGCCATGTGTGACTTTCTCTCTGTCCTCTGATCCTGAGCCTCTGGGGACAGAGTGGGAAGATGGCTCCACTCTAATGGCACACCTACACAGTATTCTGTGCTGCTCTCGGGAAGAGCGGGACTGGACATGCCGGCAGAAGGAAATATTCTTTCTTAGCTCTGCCCAAACCCCTTCTAAAGCTTCCCTGTGTTTTCATTGATCTACTGGGTTTTGCTTCCAGCATTTCCATTTGGCTCTGTGCTGCCAATTCTTCTTACCTGTGCTCTTGACTGACCCACCTGCTTGTCAGCATCCTCACTGGGGTCGAGTGTCTGTGCTCTGCAGGAGCTGCGCTTGCTCTTCTAGGGAGTCGCACTGCCTGGCTTTGTGCAGAGCACTAGAGTTTTAGGGGATCGTCCTCCTGAGAGGTCTGCTCTGAAACCACAGAGAGGAGAACCAGACAGTCAGCCTTTTGCATATGTCACAAATACGCTCAGAGCAAAGCACAGGCTTCCATAGGACCACAAAATTGACAGTGGTAATGCTGTAGACTGTACTATAGTGTTAGCATGACCTCAGCATCTGTGGGAACAACATATGACTTCCAAACCTCAGATCGATGTAAGAAGGAAGAACTACATACAGTAGGTAGATGTTCCTGTGGGTGTGTGCATGCTTGTGGAGGCCAGAGGTCTGTGTTGGCTGTCTTCCTCAGTTACTCTACACCATATGTCTTGATACAGGGTCTCTCACTGATCTGAAGCCCTCTGATTTGGGTAGGTTGGTTGATCAGCCAGGGATCCCCCTGTCTCCACCTCCCCAGTGCTGAGTTTCTGGCCTGCACCATCATGACTGTCTTCTTGAGTGCTGGGCATTAAACTCGGGTCCTGCTTACACAACCAGCCACCCAGACATAGTGAAGGAAAACCAGTAAACAGAATGAAGGTGGAACACCCTGTGTGTGCAGATGGGAGAGTAGAGAAAACAAAAGGGGCACACAAGAAAAAAAATCAAAAGCTGCTGAACAAGAGTGGGAAAGTCCGTAAATGCGGTTGAACGAAAGATATGGCAGATAAAAGCACACCTTCAAAAACTTCAGTTCACTAAAAGTTCTTGCAGAAATCCAATAAGAAAACTGAGGGGGGTTGGTGGGGGATGTCCCACACTCAAAAAGCCAAAAACAACCCTCAACAAAATCCCACATGATTCTGGAGCCTCTTTCCTTTCTGGTCTTGCAGCATTTGGGATGCCTGTTGTGAGCACTGAGGGGAAGATATGAGCCAGACTTTCTTGTGGCTCACACAGCTGCCCAGTCTTGGTAGGACAAGTGTCAACTATTCCTGTATTTGTGCAAGAGTCAGCTCTGCTGGCCCCACTCAGCTTTGTATCCTTGGGCCAAGTAGATCCTCTCCCCTTCCCTGGGTCCCACCTACCCTGAGGTGGCTGATGTTCTAGGAGGCGTGGGGGCACTCAGGGCACTAGGTGTGTACAGGTGTGTACAGCAGAGGGACCACTTTCCTACTCCAAGACCCTCTGAGTGTGACTCACCTGCTGGAGAGACGCTTTGTGAGTGTCATGCACACCCTCCAACTTCAGAGTTCTTGGGACCTTGCAACTTTGACAGACAGATTTCACCCACCCACTTGGCTTGGGCTCAGAGCTATCAGCCCTCAACATTACTCTCAGTTAGTGAGATCTATTCCTGGCCACCAGGAGCAGGGCTGTATCTCTTAGTACACCTCCCAGCTGTGCCCACCTCCTACCACCCCCCTCCCTTTGTCAGTGTTCCACCTTCCTGCTCTCTGCTACCTAGCTGAGCCTTCCCTCTCCTAGCGGCTATACCAGCCATGCTGAAACTCCCAACCTCAGCCCAGTTAGCTCAGTTATCAACAAAATAGCATTCAGCCGTTGTGGGAAAGGCCACTCTCAGAGCAGACCCTGAGACTTGAGTGGAGAGCACACTTCATTCACACCAGTGACTCTGGTAGAACCCGGTGCAGGTGCCGAGCTGCAGTCCCTCAGGGTATTTACAAGTGGCATGGCGTCACTCTTAATCTCTCTCCTCATTGGTCGGTCTCAGATGTGGTCTAGGTGATAGAGTACCATAAGGGACCATCAACTGGCACTGTAAGAGGGGTTTCCAGCAGCAAGTGCTTACCGAGACAGAAAGCAGGTACTTAAGATGACGCTCTGTGGTTTTATTTCCTAGTGGACCCCGTCTTCCCACAGCCATGGACCTTCATGGTAGATAGTGTGTGTTGTGTTCCTGGGGAGATGAAACAGTTGTTGTCCTAGTTGGGTTTCTGTTGCTGTGATGAAGAAACACTATGACCAAAAGCAATTTGTGAAGGAAAGAGTTTATTTTCCTTTATACTTCCATATCACTGTTCATCAGGACAGGCACTCAAGCAGGGCAGGAACCTTGAGGCAGGAGCTGATGCAGAGGCCATGGAGGGTGCTGCTCACTGTTGAGGGAGCTGAGGGGCTGCGTTCCTGATGCCAGCTTCCGGCCGCCTGGCTAGCATATGCCCCGAAATAACAACACACAAATTGTATTCTTTTAAACACTGCTTGGCACATTATATCTAGCCTCTTCTTGGCTAACTCTTGCACCTGGACTAGCCCATTTCTAATAATGTGTGCAGCACCCCAAGGTGCGCTTACCGGGAAGACTCTAGCCTACGTCAGCCTACGTCCGTCCTGGGTTGGAGCTTCATCGCGTCTGCCCAGGAGAGGGGAGCATGGCATCTAAGCTCACTTCCTCTTCCTCCCAGCATTCTGTTCTGTTTACTCCACCCACCTAAAGGCTGGCATATCAAATGGGCTGAGGCAGTTTCTTTATTAGCCAATGACCTTCCTCCATCAGTTTACTGATTTGTTCCCCATGGCTTGCTTAGCCTGCTTTCTTATAGAACCCAGGACCACCAACCCACATGGGCTGGACTCTCCCACATCAATCACTGATGCCTACAGCCCAGTGTTATGGACTCTGGTCTGTGTCAAGTTGACCTAAAGTTAGCCAGCACAGTTGTCTACTTACCCTAGATAGGGAGGCCATGACAGACAAAAGTATAGATACCACCAAAGCTCAATTTGGCGAGCCCGCGAGTTTACTGGAGTTCCTAACTGGGATATAGGTGTGTTGGGGGCACTAACAGGAGGAGAGACAACTCAAAGATGGCTGCATCACTAAAACCCAGTCAGCACAGGTGGAATCCTGAAGCACTGCCCAGCCTGTAGGCATCTCAGCAGGTCAAGAGTGTCCTTTCCTGGTTCCTCGGTTGCTCTGAGCCTCTTGGGGAGGGAGAGGCCTAGTGACTCTGCTTAGTTTCAGGGACTTCCTGAAGCTGTTTTGAGTTGTTTCCTTCCTTAACCTAAGGAGCTTCTCTGTGGGATGGAGTGTTTTACCCAGAAGGTTCTAACCTCAGTGGGAACTGCCGCATTCTGACAGGGTTTCCCTCTACCACTGGCTTGTCTTCCTTGCTCCCTTGTGAGGGCTGTGGGCCTGTCCTGGAGTCAGGATTTTGTCTGCTTTAGCTGCTGGAAGTGGCTTCTCTCTCTCCTCTGTCACCCATGACCTATGCAGCTCAGGCTGCTTGTTGCTTTTCTGAGTTTCTAAGTAGTTTTTTGTTGTTGTTGTTGTTGTTGTTATTGTTGTGGATTTCTGGAACTCTTCCCTATTTCTCACTTGGATCAAGCCCACTGATGAAATGACTCTTTAGAGGCTGACACAGAGTGGTGGGCCTTTGTTTCCAAACTGAGACCTCACACATGCTAGGCAGATGCTCCGCTGATAGCCATGCTTCAGTCCCCACAGAGTAACTCTCCGGAAGATGTAGCCTTTAGACAGGATCTCACTGTAGCCCAGACTGACCTAGAACACACTCTGTATGTAGCCCAGGCTGACCTGGAACACGGGATCTCACTGTAGCCCAGGCTGACCTGGAACACACTCTATGTAGCCCAGGCTGACCATCCTCCCTCTATCTCCCAACTGCCAGAATTGCAAGCTGGAGTTATCTTGCTTGGCTAGGTGGTGACTTCACAGGTCTGTGGCAGGTGCCACAGATCCTGAGTTCTGGTTGTGGCCTCAGAGAAAAGCCACAAGAACTGTCTTTGTGCTCTCCCTCTGCAGGCTCTGGGCTGTGGCATGGAGCTCTCTGATGTCAGCTGCAGGCAGTTTCTGGATCAACTCATTGGATTCTTTCATTTCTACATGGGCCCTGTCTCTCTGGCCTACAAGGTAGACGTGCAGATTGCCAAGGGTATTAGGCCCTTCAAAGTCAGCATTGCTGGGACCAGGCCTTCTTCGGGTCTGTCTCTATTACATGAGCCCGTCTCTGTAATACAGGGCGCAACATTTGTATTGCACGATGCCATGTGACAAGGTGGCACAAGGTGTGTCCCCATGTGTCTGCTCTCCTCTCCTCCCTGGATTGGTACCCCTTTCTTCAGGATGTTTCCTGGCTCTGTGACAGGACTGGTTATTGGAGTGAGAGCTAGGACATGTGTGGTAGGGGTGGGATGAGACAGGCCTGTCCATCCTGCTGTCTTCCTGGTGGGAAGCTCCCTGCAGAAAGTAGCAACCCTTACTAAGAGCCAGTGTCCCCATCTCAGGTACTGATGCCCTTTGTCTTTGTCTCAGAACCATCCTCAGGAGGAGCTGAGTTTGCAGTGGGACAGCGTCATCACACACATCCTCAGGAGCACCAGCGAGTTGCACAGGATCTTCAACGCCCTGTGGAATCTGGACCACACCAAGGTAAGGCTGCTGCCCTCCTGTTCACTGCCCACATGGACATGGGCTGCTGGGACAGGCCTGTGAGGCGCTGAGAGGGGTCACCTGTGTCCGAGCATGTAGCTAGGGAGTGAGAGGCCGTGTTTCCAGCAGAGCAGTTGATGAACAGTTTCTATGCTGCTGCCGGGGGTGGGGTAGGGTGGGTTGGGGTGGGGAGGCAGGCTGCCTCTCAGACCCTACTGTCTCCTGACAGTTCAGGGGCCCTGCTTCCAGGACTGGCCACACCGAATAAACTCTCAGTGAGTGGAGCATCATCACTGCCTCTGAACTCTGAGACCAGAAGGCCCTTTCTCTCTCCACATAAATGGCCTGACTTTAGTGACTCCATCAAAGTGCCCGATTCACATTTGAACTCATTTGCATCTGAGAGAGACCGGAAGGTTCTCTCTGAACCAGCCCGTTTCCCATTTGCACTCAGCTGACGCACACCGGCTGCTGTGTGGCCCGGGCGCCTGTGCATCTCAGATCTGCACCTTTCATGTCACTGCTGAAGGAAGAAGCTGGGACTCAGCATTCCAGAGCCCACTGCGCAGGGCATGGGGTGGGTGGGGTTTTCCACTGCTGTGGACAACTTCGAAGGCCAGTTGGTACTGAAGGCAGTCTGGGGCTGTGAGAGTGAGGTCACTGTCCTCTCTTACTTTGGTCCTGACCACCTGGCTCACCTCAGCCAGGAGGCTGCAGTGTCTGGGCGGTTCTGGACAGGCTCATGTGGTCTTTGTGGTTGAGTAGCTGATTCCTTACAGGAACTGTGAGCTGACTGTGGGTTGTATCCCATCAGCTGGTCTCTGAAGCCTGTTGTCCCCCAGGCACTTGTAGGCATGCTCACAGACATGTGTCTTGTCTCCCCAGGTGGAGCCCCTGCTGCTGCTGAAGGCAGCCCTCATCCTACAGACCTGCCAGCGCTCGCCCCATGTCCTAGCTGGCTCCATCCTCTACAAAGGACTGTGAGTTGTGCCCACTTATGTCAGCCGCTGTCCCCACTAGTTCCAGATCAGAGTCTGCAGTTGTTCAGCAAAGGCCAGGTCATGTAGATTGGCCGAGCATCCATTGCCATTGGGAACTGTTCAGGAAAGGAGCCCTGAGGTCCTCGGTTTGGGTGTTCTGGTGAAGTGCCATTGATAGAGTTCAGTGCAGAGCCCCACTGTGGGCAGCAGCCAGCCCTGCAAGTAGAGGCTGTGCCAAGTGCTACCCAACTGCTTCCAGCCTTCCACCAAACTCAGCAGTCATTTTCACACCGGGAGAGCCCAGGGCCTGACAGCCCGTCCGTGAGGAACATTTGTGCTCACTGCCCAGGCAGGCTGGGCCTTAGCCAGTGCTCTCCAGAGCGGGCGTTCGAGCCCTGGCTTCTCTTCCTCTTTGTTCCACCATCTTGGACAAGTAGCCCCAACCTCCTCTCCTGGGAAGTGGGGACCCTTGCTGAAGAATGACAGGAGTGGCAGATGTGGAGGGTAAGCACAGAGCCCGTGGCCATCACCCCTTTCCTCTCCCTGTTCTCAGGGAGACTGTAGTCACGCTGACACAGGTGGCGGCAAAGATCGTGTTTGTGGGCAGACAAAGGGCTCAGTGAGTGAAAGGCTTGCTGCCCAGCCTGGCGCCTCTGAGTTCCATTCTGAGACCCACATGGTGAAAGGAGAGAGCTGACTCCCCCAAGTTGTCTTTTGGCCTCCATATACACAGAAGCACGATAAATGTTTTAAAAATTTTAAAAATAGTATTTTATCACTCATATTTTCTTTCTCACCTATATAATATCTATGTAACTATATATGTGAGATATATATATTATATGTGTGTGTGTGTGGTTCATACACACACTTTATTTGAGACAGTATCTCACTATGTAGCCCTGGCTGTCCTGGAATTCTCTATGTAGACCAGGCTGGCTTTGAACTCCTAAAGATAGACTGCCACTGCCTCTGCCTCCCCAGTGCTGAGATTAAAATTGTATGCTACCACGCCCTGCCCTCTGTACCAATTGCACAGGGAGTAGAGCCCTTCTGAAATGCTGGGTATCTTTGTGTTCTAAGTGGTTGGCTCAGTGATTCTCTTCCAGTGCACACAGGTGGCTTACTTGTGGTTTTGGTATGCCTGCTATCTTCTCGTGATAAGTAGCCATATGACCCCTCAGTCCTGCCTGATTGGAGAGCTTACATTTTGACTGTCAGTGGGACCTGCAGAACAGAGAGCCCTTCACTGAGGATCTACCTGATGAAACTCCTGCCAGGCACATCCCCAAGATCCTCTACCTCCAGAGACACTGCTATCCGTGGAGCTGAGAGGCCCAGCTCTTCTTTTCATGGCGTTCTTGTCCCTGTGTCTTACCCCCAGGATCGTGAATTCCCAGCTCCCTCCTTCTCTTACCGCCAAGGTCCTGCTTCATCAGACTGTCCCTACAGGCCAGGTACAGTACAGCCTACAACTTGGTGGGGGACTGACCCAGAACATCTGCCCTCCAACTGAGGGGGGCTGGCCCCACATGGCAGGTGGGTCTAGGGCACCTGCTTCACCGAATCTGTCACAACGCTTCATCCGCTGGTGAGGTCAAGGAGTAAAGCAAGGGTAGAAGCAAGCATTTGCCCCAGGTGGTGGGTCCATTCAGCTTCCAATAACACAGTGTTGATGACAGAGCACTGTAAGGAACATATTCTTAAGTCAACAGGGAAACTGCTGGCCATGGTGCTGTGTGCCTCTGTGCCCGCCCTGGGAAGCTAAGGCAGGATGGTCATGAGTACAGAGCTACCCTGGGCTACATACTAAGGGGATGTCTCTGAAACTGGAGGAAAGGAAGAAGGAATAGAAGGGAGGGCATAGGGAACATTGATCTTCCTATGCATTCTGTGTGTGTGATGAATACACACAGCCATGGAGAATAAAACTGCACAGGCAGGTGTCATGGCAGAGAGAAGCAGGTGGACTCCATAGTGAGCTCCTGTTTTAGGAAGGGAGGAAATGTTCCAGATAACAACATAGGACCCACAGCCATCACTGAGCAGTTTCCATCTAGACTCTCTCTCTCTCTCTCTCTCTCTCTCTCTCTCTCTCCTTCTCTCTTAATTTGTTTTGTTTTGATTTTGGAGATGGGGTTCTCATTGGGTAACCTGGTCTACATTGAGAGTTGAACTTCTGATCCATCTGCATCACCTCCCATTGCTCAGGTCCCAGGCTAATCCACCAGCTTGGCTTGTTTTGTGAGCTTCTGTTTCAAATGCTTCACTGGCCTCTCTCTAACCATTCAGAGCCTGGGTGGGCTCTAGCTTCCTGTGGGTGGTGTGTCTGGAGGGCCACCTTCACTGTTAGCAGTTTGGAGCTTTAATACGCCCTTGCCCACCTCCCCTGATTCAGCTGTGGGAATCCCTACAGAGGAAAGCCAGCCCTCCTGGCCTGCTAGTGAAGGGGGAAGCTAGTCGGATGTGACTGCCTGAGGGCACCACCAACTGTCCTGCTGATGTCGCCACACCACATGTAGTTGTGTGGAGCTGCTGCTGTCTGATACAGCAGCGACGATCAGTGGTCGGGACAGAGGCTCACAGCCCCGAGGCTGTGTCAAGGAACTGCTAGCATCTGGTCTGTGGCTGAGGGTCAGTTGTTTGGCAGGAGCTGCTGTAGACTTCCTCAGATTTTAGCCAGAGATTTTACAATGAGTGCAGTCATATAAGCTGTTTTAAGTGGAAATACTGAATTTCATTTAATGTCTCAAAGTAGTAAAAGGCATGTACTTAAAGGGGAAATTCCCAAGAATTAACAGGAATGTGGGGGGGGTATAAATTGTTTCTTTGTTTATTGTTGCTGGGGATTGGAGCCCCGGGCCTTGGGCTTTGTCACTGAGTGGTATTTGCTGCCTCTATGGCTGCTCTCTAGACTTAGGTTCCCCAACGTGGGCTCAAGTGAGGAACCCTTGCTTTGGTGTTTCATGGGGGACACATAACACTTCAGAGCTGCTGCTTTGAGGCCAGAGTAGGTCCAGTTCTTGCCTCCTGGCCTCTGAGAAGCAAGTGGCCCTGCTCCATCTGCTGGGCTCTTGGCACAGGGTCATACCAGCTCCCTGGGTTTGGCTGAGTCCTGTGAGCAGATGGTGCCATGAATTCCTAATGGTTAAGAGGAGAGCATGGTGCCTGGGGCCAACTTGTGTATTTGTTTGTTTCAGAGACTTCCTGGAGCAGGGGCAGCTGCACAGGAAGCAGGTACGTGGTGCGTGGACAGTAGTATGCTGCCTTCCTCCTGGGATAAGCCAGGGAGAGAGCAACCAGCCCCCATGTGGATCTCCTCTGTTCATAGATTCAGCAGATGGATCTAGCACAAGCTAGGACAGTTCCCTTTGGGACCCGGATTTCCAAGGTCATGATTTGGGCATGCCCTCCTTTGACTCCATTCTGTGACATTGCTTAGACAGTGTCTGGGGTGTGGTAATGGAGGGAGAGATAGAACACTGGTGGCATCCTCAGGAGGCTCTGGCCTCCTTCCAAAGCCTGAGTTTGCTGAGTCTTGGCCAGCTGAAAGCCCTTTCTCCTAACATCTGTCAGGTATCTCCCTCTCCACACTGCCACACTTCTCTTTCTTGCTGCTCAGAGCATCTAGGCTGCAGCTCTGGGGCTTTGGGCTGAGGGAGCAACCCTGGTGCTACCATAGTGACATTTGTGAGTGCCAAGGGCCCACCGCATCCCAGGGGAGCCCCAACCATGTTTTTATTTGCAGGAGCAGCATTGCCCCCTAATGTGCAGATCACCCCTGTTTTTCTGAGTGAGGAGGAAGTTGCTAGCCTCCGTGTGTTCACAGTGGAGCAGGAGACTAGGTAGGTGGGGTGTTCCTTTCATGTGTGTGTGCTCCCCACTTGTGTCTTCATTGTATTGTAAAGCTGTTGATCAGAGGTGTCCTGGCCTCCCGACACAGCAGACTCAGTGTGGAGCCACTCTCAGGACACCCTTCAGCTGTGGGTGACTTCCTGTGTGGCCTTGGCTACCTCTGGTCAATGATCCTGACCTCATTGGACAAGTCCTCACCAGTCATGGCCTTTTTCTACTTTTGTGGTTTTACCATGGTGGCATCTTAGCTCTATGACTGCAGATACCTGCTTGTCATTGATGCTTGTGCCTTTCAGGGGATTGGTACCTCAAGAGTCCCCATGGGAGCCTTTTCCCCATACTCTGCTGATATGACATCTCTTTTGTTTGCCAGACTCCAGGAAAGTCCATCTCAGTGCCCTCCCAGGGATCGAAGCACCCCTACCCAGGCAGAAGATGCCACTAGGTGTGTGGCATCCATGGCCTGGACATCAGCCACCATCCTGGAGCCTATGCCCCATGATGGAGCATGGCTGAATGGCAGGGGGGCAGATGGACCCTTCCCTGGACATGCACAGGAGCATGCCGTGGCTGCAGGACTGTGCACCACTGCCTGTGGCCAGGGTTCTGGCATCAGCAGCAGGCTGCAGCAGGAGTTGGGTTTTTCCCAAGAGGAACTGGACTTGTCTGAAATCCACATCTCTGAGGCTCAGGAAGCTTTCCCACCCATGCCTGTCGTAGGTGATCAGGAAGCTGTCCTCACCAGCCACCAGGCCCCCACACTGCCTGAAAACACAGCAATATGCAGCTGTCTGGACCCTTCCCCTCTTGAGAGGCTCCCCGATAGCAGAGGGCAGGAATGGCTTGCAGACCTTCCCATCACCAATGGCCAAACCCAAGTACCTGGCACAGACCCTCTCCCCAGAAGAAGCAGCAGCCCTGTGGTACTTCCTCCCCAGGACCCTGTGGGTGTGGAGCCCAGTGTGGAGCAATGTGGGGACGGAAGCCTCCAGAACAGGTCAGCCCTAGCATGTACTTTGCCCTCAGCTGACTCTCAGGGCCCCAGCACCTCTGCAGACAAAAGTGACTTCAAGTCCTCCCCTGCTGGGCTCCATGCAGGGCTCCTGCCCATGAGCCTCTACACTCATGGTGTGAATGGGCTGGTGCTATCCCTGCTGGCTGAGGAGCCTCTTCTCAGAGACACTGCAGCCATCGAGGAAGTGGTGAGTGTCCCCAGGCTCCTCTGTATCCTCATCTTTCTCCTTGGAACGTGGACCAGCCAGCCCCCTGGCAAGAATACCCCAGCCTTTGTAGTGAGGCGAAAGATAGTGCCCACTTGTGTGAGATTTTGTGTGGTGTGTAGGAGTGAACCACACATGCATCAAAACACCGGCAGAGGACTGGACTCTCCTTTTTCTGCTTCCCGCAGTCTGGGAGCACGGGTGTAGAGGAGGGAGGAGCGAGCAGGAGTGTCTGGGAGCACGGGTGTAGAGGAGGGAGGGGCGAGCAGGAGTGTCTGGGAGCACGGGTGTAGAGGAGGGAGGGGCGAGCAGGAGTGTCTGGGAGCAGGGGGGGAGCAAGCAGGAGTCTCTTGCACACAGCTCTCCCCTCGGGGGCCTTGTTTCCCTTTCAGTAGCCTGCAGTGGTGTTCAGCTTCCCACTCTGGGGTAGTGGGGTCATGCAGCCAGAGACTGCAGGCAGGGCTGAGAGCTGCCCTGCTGCTGGCTCAGCTCCTAGCTAAGGCGGCATGGGCACTCTTGCCAGCGTCTGTCTTCTGCAGCACATCACAGCCTGGGGTGGGGGTGGGGGGCAGGAACCCTGCATTTCCTTCCTAGACCCCACCTCACATGGTGACTTAGTGCTCCTTCACAGAGTACACTTGAAATCCAAACTGGCGGTGGATGGAGCTTTTTGAATAGCCATCCCTTCCTGGAGCAGTGAACTGAGCTCTAGAGTCTGGACCCACACTGGCGATAGAGTTGCTATGGTAACAGCCTTGCTGTGGTTGGCAGGAAGAACAGTTGCTAGAGGGCAAATGTTGTTCTGGGGCTCAACTTGTTTTTCTTCTTAAATCCACATTATTCTGAGGCATCTCATTGGCATGCATGTCCTGTGGCCCTCCACCGAGGAGCCGGTCACCTTGGAGCACAGTACAGGCTGCTGGGTGGCTTCTCTCTAAGCCACCTGACTTTCCTGTCTCTTTCTACAGCCCCTGCCCACAGCCCAGAGTTGAGACTTTTTACATGTATCCTCATTTAGCATAGCTGTGGGTGGCTGTGTCCACCTCTGCTTTAGGACAGCAATGGGTCCTGGCTGTGGCTTCATTCAGGGCAGCTCTGTGCCTTGGCTTCCCCAGTTCTTACTGTGCTGAGCTTCAGGACTGTTCACTCTGAAGGCCTGGTATTTAGATGCAGCAGAATAGATAGAATGCCACTGTGAAGAACCTAGCACAGGCTGCCTGTGGAGAGGCGGTCTACACAATTATATGTTAAGCTGGCTTACTGTATTAGCCAAGCTGAGGGTGGTTCTGGGAGGGCAGACACTGCAACTCCTGTCCTGAGGGAAGAGCCTTGCGAGGTGTGAAGTGGAGGCCTCATGCAGTTCTGTTGATTTCCACTGTCTCTTCCCTACTTCCCTGTCCCAGGCTGCTCTGCTCTTGCCAGTAGGTTGACAGAGGAGAGAAGAGTGCCCAGCCTTCTGCAGCCTCTACTGTGTGGCAGCATTTGTCAAGGTCAACCACAGTGTTGTGACCACAGCCTTCAGCTTTCCTGTAAAGCAGGGCTGGTGCTATTAGGCCCAGGAAATGGGATACAGGGTATGGGAGGTAAACGCTAGTGGTGTTGTCTAGACTATGGAGTTGCTAACTTTGAACACTGTGCTGGTTTAAGAAGGTGAACTTGAACCAGAACCCAAGTCTGGTTTATAGGAGAGGTTTGTTACTGTCTTAAATAGAACAGACTTGAGTAAGAAATGTTCACCTGATCTCTCTGTAGCTTTCCTGCTGTTTTCTGGAAGGCAGACAGTCTCTGCAGTGTGGTCCCACAGGCTGGAGGTGCACAGCTCTCTGAAAGGCTCTGTCCACACAGACCTCCTCAGGAGGCAGGGCGATCAGGTTCTGGAGCCTGGGAGCTGTGCCGTCAAAGGGAAGTGCAGGAGGCCCCCACCAGGGGGCAGCTTAGTGTCCCTGAGCCTGGTTTTCAGGTCTGCCTAGTATATTCCCTTGGGCCTTCAGTTCCAGGGAGCCTGTGAATTACTGCCTCATTAGGCCATGCACGGGGGCATCAGGGTTGGAATGGGTAGGAGGCAAGACCTGCTTGAAGTCAGGGTAGGAGCGCTTGGTGAGATATCCAGTGGAAAAGCTCGGCCATGTGGGCTACACACACTGATCCACCATCTACCGTCAGCTCTAGTGCGGACTGAAGTCAGAGCCCTGTGTCTCCTTGGGCCACTCTGAGATCAGTGAGCTTTTTGTTCATGGATTCAGAAGGCAGACGTTTTCAACTTTGCAAACTCCCCAGCCTTGTGTGGTTCTAAACCAGGCAGTGTATGAATGGTGTGGTGTGGTATGGCTTTGTGTGGCCACCTCCTGTACTTCTCACAAGTACAGACAAGTACTGTGACAGACACAAACCATCCTCAGTTGTCAGGCTGCACAAAAACAGGTTGCCTGGATTTAACTAGGCCCCTGCATCTATGACAACACTTAGTCATTAGAGAAGTCTCCTCCATATTATACCACACATCTTGTGATGGTTTGTGGTTAAGCAACTCTGTCTTGACTACAAGCTAGTCAGAAAATTTTGGAAGTAGAGCCTAATACATTTAGAGAGAATAGGATTTAGTTGGCCTACTCTCTGGACCAGTTTTCCCTGTTTCTTGTTAACAGCTTGAGGGGTGGCTATTATCAGGTCCCTAAGATCCAGAAGGTGTAGTGCAGCTACAAGGTGAGCTCCCCTGGGTGCCCCAGTGCCCCCCTCCTCCACTGCAGGGTGAGCTCCCCCGGGTGCCCCAGGGTCATCCCACCCTGTCACCCCCAAGACACACACAACTTTGAAGCTTAGGCTCATTTGTGTCTGCTGACCCTGTGTTGTAAGTGTCCTGACCGTCAGAGCAAGGTGGGTCTGCACGCACCTGCTTTCCACAGCTGTACACTCAGGGGAAGCCAGTGGTTGAAGTGCCTGGCACTGGCTGTGTTTATCCATTGGCTCATTCGAGGGGATTTGTTCACACACTACTTATCTGTTGAAGCTCCTTATTCCTACGGCCTCTCAGAGCCACTGAGCACAGGCCACTGGACAGCATTGTTCGTTCCTTGTAGAAGGTGCATATTCTTCATGGGAGTGATTAACCCATGAGGACTTCACCCAGGCCAGGTTGGGAAACACTGGGAACATAGAAGGCCACCAATAGTGTTAAAACAAACAGTGTCAGAGCTGCAGAGACGGCCCAGGGGATTGGAGCACTTGCTGTTTCTCCAGAGAACCAGAGTTCACATCCTATCAGGCAGTTCACAACTACCCAGAACTCCAACCCAGGCCATCTGATGCCGTCTTCTGAACTCTGCACACATAAGGCAGATAAATTAGAAATAAGTAAATATTTAAATAAAATAGATAGTCCCCTGGGGGGCTTCTGGGAAGCCACACCTAGGCAGCCACCACTGGGTATCATGGGTAATTTTTCTTTTCTTTTTTTTCCTTTTGTTTCTTCTTCCTCCTTTTTCTTTTCTTCCTTTCTTCTACCCATGATGACCTCAAATTTGTGGTCCTCCTACGTCAGCCTCCTGAGTGCTGGGGTTCTGGGTTAGTACTGCCATGCCTCCTGACTCTTCTTAAAATAGAACCTGCTCATTTTATCCTCACACAGTATGACGCTTAATTTACAAATATCAGACCATGGGTTTAGAGAGGTGACTTAGCAGCTAAGAGTACTTAGTTCTTGTTCAGGGAACCTGAGTTCAGTACTAGCACCCACACTGGACAGCTCACAATTGCCTCTACACTTGTCACACAGAGGGTGTGACACCCTCCTCTGAGTTCCACGTGCATGCACGTAACACCGCATACACAGATAGATACACACAAGAAGGAAAGTATATGCATATATGAACATAAGGGGCTGGGGATGGCGTACACCTGTAGTCCCAGAACCCAGGAGGCAGAGGCAGAAGGCTTCCCACAAGTTTGAGGCTAGCCTGGTCTCCATAGTGAGTTCTAGGCCAGTCGGGGCTGCATAGGGAAGCCCTGCCTCAAAAGGAGCATGTGAGTGGAACTTGATGCTCCACCAGAGACAATGGCTATTTTTGCTAGGTCTAGTGACCACTGAGGCATTGTCTAGGTGCTTCTTAACTGTGTCTGCCAGCCTGTGACCCACTCCTGGCCCCTCTGCAGTACCACAGCAGCCTGGCATCCCTGAATGGGCTGGAAGTCCACCTGAAGGAGACACTACCCCGAGATGAGGCTAGCCTCACAAGCAGCACGTACAACTTCATGCATTATGACCGAATCCAGAGCGTGCTCACAGGTAAGCTACAGGTACAGGGAGCCCAGCTCCACATGGGCGGAGGGAGAACCCAGCCCCAGTCATGGCAATGCTGCAGCCTACAACCCGCTGGCCACAGCTGGAGCACAGCCACCGAGCTCACTGGCAAACACTCATTTGCTCCTTTTCTTGTTTGCTGTTCCCCAGTGGGAACTCGGGAGTTTCAACATCTGTGGTAAGGTCAGCCCAGAATAGGAGCTGCTGGGGCTGGCAGTGGGGCTGGCAGTGGGGCTGGTAGTGGGCTGTTTGTCTCCAGGCCTCTCACCCACACTCAGGCTTTAGCCTCACTGCTCCCATGTCCAGGACTTGGCCCAAGGAGTCGGGGAGGGCTGCCATTCACCACCTCTGTCTCCTTCTGCCAGCCAACCTGCCTCTAGTGGCTTCTCCCCAGGACCGCCGCTTTCTGCAGGCCGTCAACCTCATGCACTCGGACTTTGCCCAGCTGCCTGCGCTGTACGAGATGACTGTCAGGTGAGCTTCTCAGCCCCTCACAGCAGTGCCGCAGGTCACAACAGTGGCAAAGCCCTAAGTCCTCACTGTCAGAGAGCACAGGGCTGCACTATTCCTGAGGGTGGGCCAGACAACACTATAGGCTTCTAAATACAAACAAAATGGTTGGTAAAAACACAGTCACTGCAGTGATCTCAGAATCAGACATTTCTCTGATGCCCAGCACCACCAGAGCCAGCCTGTGTCTCCGTGTGTGGGGGAGCTCCGGGCCACTGCTGCTTTAGTTCTTATTCTCCATGACTGATAACAGACGACACAGGTTCCATTTCCTTTCCCTTGTCATACTAACTTATCTTTCAGGTGACTGTCCCTGAAACTGGATGCTTAAACAGCTGTGTTCTTTCTCTCCATGTTTTCTGAAGCTACTTTTGGAGAGTTGGGCATGTTAGAGGGCTAGAGGAAGAGCTTCCCCACCCCTCCGTCAGCCTGCCGACTGTCGTTATGGCTGTGCAGACACACTTTTCCTTCCTCTTAGAGTAAGAAATGTGAGCGTGTGTGGGAACGGTGCTGTCCTAGGTCACAGTCTCACGAAGCCAACGGCCAGGGTTTGACTGCAGGCCTCCATGACTCAGGTGCATGCTCTTTCCCCATAGGTTTCACTAGCTGGGCCAAGACTGTGGGTCGGGACACAGTGGGAGCACACAGAGCCTTGGGGATGAAATTCCCATGTCCCGTCACTTGACCACACCGATGCCAGCTGTCTGTCCTGGTGTCATCTGCTGCTGATAGCACAGTCTGCCCTTTTCATCTGGCAGCCACCACTCTGGGACCTGGGTGTGCTGGGTGTGTGGCTGTTGAGTGGGAGGAGGCAGCAAACAGATGCTGACATCTGCTCCCCTGCTGGTGGCCGCTGTGCTTCACCTTCCTAGAACTGACAGCGTTCAGTGTGGGTAGAGCCCAAGGCATGCTGGGTGGGTTCTCACCACAGTGATGGGCACAGTTCCTTGGCATATGCTAAGGAGTGCACACAGACTCTGCAGGACTCTGTAATAAAGCCAGGGGCTCCCTGCTTGCCAGTAGGAGGGCTGGCATTGCCACACAAGTGTGACTGGAAGGTTTTCTCACCAAGCCATACTCCCTTCAGCTTTGAGAGGAGCCTGCCAGAGAAATGCCTCACAAGAGCAAGACCTGGAGCTTCCTCCTCCTCATCCAGCAGGAGACAGCTGAGGGAAGGAGCTTTAGCAGCCCCTGACCCTGTATACTAGAATCAGGGAAACTTAGGCTTGTTAGACTAAGGACTCCAGATAAGAAGAATGTGGGGGCTAAGGAGGTCGGGTGGGTCTGTTAACAGGTAAGAGTTTCTCCCTGGTCCTGTGCTCGGGAGGAAAGACTCCCCTGATAGACAGTTTAAGCCGAAGCTTACTTAGCAAAGTAGAGAAATTGGGGCACTGGCCTGAAAGTGGGGGAGCACCATAGTGGGGACCGGTTTTGGGTCTTTTAAAGTGTATGTGTATGTCTGTATGTTTATGCACCTGTGTGTGATGTGTGCATATGTTCACACATGCACTACAGTGTGCATGTGCAGGTCAAAGGACAACTTGTGAGGTTCCAGGATGGAACTGAGGCTGTCAAGCGTCCCTCTAGCCCTGAATGGTGGATTTTTAAGGAGTCCTTATGACTGTGTATGAGATTGGTGGCATATTCATGGGGTAAAGTAACCCTTTTTCTTCTCAAATTACCCTGTTAGGGTATTTGTTCCCCTGTCTTGGGGAAAGAGCACAGCGGGTGGGGGATTAAGCCAGCAGTGCAAATGGTGCTGATGTGGAGGGCACACCCCTGGGTGGTGTGCCTGTGCGGTGTCGAGAGCATCCCGCTGTTTCCGTGTCTGAGGGCAAATGGTGCTGATGTGGAGGGTGCAGACCCTTGGGTGGTGTGCCTGTGCGGTGTAGGAGAGTGTCCCGCTGTCTCCTCTTTGAGGGGTGTGGCTTTAAGGATGTGGAGCAGATGAGCAGCATGCTGTCAGGAGCCCAGCTACCAAGATGCAACTGCGGTTTCCTAGGTTACCTCATCCCACCTTCTCAAATACCCATTACAGATCCTCCTTTGTGCCATTCTTTGTCCCTCTGTTAACCTATGGGTCCAGGTTTCCTGCTTTCTGTCCCTGCCACTCCTCTGTCACCTTACAAGCACCTTACAGCCACCGTCCTAAGCCCATTCCCTCCTGCCATGGTGAGTCAGGGACATGAGCAGGACTCGCTCCGCTGCCATTCTGCTGACAGCAGCTTCAGTGGCCATTTGTTCAGTAACTCCAGACCCTGGCTACACCTACCTCAGGCCCACCATCCCAGCCCCTGAGAGCTGAAAAGACAGGACAATTGTTACCTGGGCCTGCAGCAGGCATTGGGGTGATGGAGCAGCCAGCCAGGGCCTCACACTCACCCCTGAGCTGTTGTCCTCTTTTCTCCCCAATAGGAACGCCTCCACAGCTGTGTATGCCTGCTGCAACCCAGCCCAGGAAACCTACTTCCAGCAGCTGGCGCCCACTGCTCGCAGCTCTGGCTTCCCGAACCCTCAGGATTGTGCCTTCAGCCTTGCAGGCAAAGCCAAGCGGAAACTGCTGAAGCACGGCATAAACCTGCTGTGAGCTGTGCACAGCCTGGGCTGTGCGGCAGCCCCTCCAGACTGTGTCCACAGTGCTAAGGGTTGAGAAGGACCTTGTTCTTCAGTGGCTGCTGCATGAGGGTGAGAGGACTCAGGTTCTGGCATGTGTAAGTGACCTGAACAGGTGCAGTGCAGGCTGCAGGCTCAAGAATGCAGCCATGGGAATCTCACCTGACAGTTTACTCAAAGTACCTATGGTACTTTTGCAACCTTGCAATGCTGAGTTTCAAGTTTATGAAAGATTCCCAACTGCTCAAAAATAAATGACCAAACTGAGTTCTGTGTAATTGGCTAGCATTTCCATGACAGAATAAAAGTCAGTGTACATGCTTTACATGGGTGTGTGCACACGCAGTTTCCTCCATGCCCTGTTCCACACTGAGGGTTCTGTGTTGCTTTTGTTAGAGCGCAGAGCATCTGCATAGAACCCATATACACTGACCGATAGTGATTGACAGCCCCAGCCTCACAGGCCTGCTGCAGAGGGAGTTTCTAAACTATGTTGAGTCTGCATGGTGACAGGGCATGATTTCCTTTCCCATCTATCCTTGGGCTTACAGGTACAGAACCCATAGATCTGGAGGGCTGGCTGTGTTTTCCCCATGAACTGTACACACCAGTGTGCCTGTCTACAGGGTCATAAGCCACGTGACCTGCGGTCTCTTCCTTTCCATGAGGCCTCTCCAACACTTGCTGACCACAGACTGATGTCCATGCCAGGAGAGTCCTGCTGTCAGCAGCCAGATACAGTTCTAGAAAGAACTGTCCCTAAACAGTTCTAGAAAGAAACTTGGGAAGTTTGTTGCCAGCTCTCAAGAAACCTCTGATGGCTTTACAGTGTGTTTTACAGCCGAGGGGGTGCTCGCACGGTACACTCTCCCTTCTGCCAACTGCTGCGCAAGACCTTCTAAGTCCTGGCCCTAACCTCTGAGAAGACAGCCCGTGGTGTGTCAGAACTTGGGACTCAGGAGCTTGGAGGCATCCCATCTTCCCTCTGTGGCCCGCTAACTGCCTGGGTTTGAGGACTCTTCCAGGAAGCTATTTCAAGGGATGTCACTGACCTCTCTCAGTCCTCGTGTGACATGGAGCTGTGTGCAGCCCATACCTGTCTCATGCACCTTCGCAGGACTGCTTTGAGCCCAGGAATGCTTTGCACTCAGAACACAGCCACTGTAGAACCAGTGCTGTGGGCTGCTGTAGGCCTCCTGATTAAACTTACCCCGGAGTAAAGTCGGGACCAAAGGTGACCTGAGCACCACTGCGTGGGAAGTCTTTAAAAATACCCCCAGGAGTCTTTCTATAAATCAGGAGCATATTCTGTCTTGAGCATGGATGTATCAAGTGGTTAGTTTTCTGTGTGTATGGTACCTGTGTATGGAGGAGAACGGAGGAGGACATGGGGTATCCTGCCATTGCCCACCTCACAACTCCCCTGCCCCTCCTTGCAGGGGTGGGGTGAAGGCATGTGCATGGTCACACTCAGCTCTTTATGTGGGCACTAGGGATCTGAACTCGGGTCCACATGCTTTTGCAGTAAGCCTGCTCTTACCCGTAATCCACACTGTATTCCCAGCTTTGAGGAGAGGCAGGAAGACCCCAAGCTCAGGGCTGCCTGCACTGCTGTCAGCCGCGGTTCCTACTGAGTCCATACCTGAAAATGAGAAAGGGCTGAGGGTTTTGCTCAGGTTAAGATGCTTCCTGGCATGAGGCTCTGGTCTCAACCACTAGTAACACACACACCTCTCTTGGCCTTTTATTTTGGGGGTGTGGGCCACATGTCATGAGGACATACAGGTAGCCCCATGAGAAACTGTAGCCTGGTCAGCAGGTTGTGAACCTTGTTGAGAGTGGATCTGCCAGTCCCCATCAGGCTCCAGATGGCCCTGCCAACCCCTGCAGGTGAAGCTGAGCTGTATGCAGTCATAGGCTCTTCCCAGGACACTGGAGTCACATTTCCCACTCAGATAGCTTCCACACACAGTGCTCCAGATACCCAACTGCCTCCTGCCCCAGCCTCACCAGTCCCTTTTGTACCACCTCTTGAGAGGATGCGACAAGTCCACGGCTCTGCTTCTTTGTGCAGTGAAGGGTTGGGATCTCAGATAGGAGGCATTCCCTGATCCTAGGATACCTCACTGGGGTGTGGACAGGCAGTGGCCGGGGAGGGGGCAAAGGTCCCTCTCCATTCCTGATTACAGCCCAGTTGGTCCTGCTGCCTGAAACAGGGAGCTGCTTGCCATTGGCAGGTGTGTGTGTGTGTGTGTGTGTGTGTGTGTGTGTGTGTGTGTGTGTAAACTTCCACTTTTGCCAAAAAGAATCTTGGGAGTTACTTCCCTTAGATCTGCAGAACCCGTGTGCATCTCATCCCAGGGCTAACTCAAGAATTTGAGTCCTGAAACACTGCAGGCACTCCTTGCCTCATCATTTTTCTCCTGCCAAGCCAGTTCAGGCTGTTGGACTTACACCGAGCTGTCCGGCAGGCCTCCATGACGTCTGTCTGCTGACATGGAAGGTCCACTGAGACCTGTGGGAGCCCAGGGAGGTGTGCACTGCTGTAGCCTCTACAGTGATTGGCTTGGAGGCTGCTGGGAAAGCCTCCTCCCCACCCCTAGCAGCTCCCTGTTTCAGGCAGCAGGACCAACTGGGCTGTAATCAGGAATGGAGAGGGACAGTTTGTGCATAGCCAAGCCCACACCTCCCAAATTACCCTCTAAACATGGTGTGTTCCTATAGCAGAGGTCCAGCAGAGGTTATAGCAGACTCATTGTCCTGGATGGGCAGCAGGTCCTCCACAGCAGCGTCGGGGGCAGTGTCTGCCAGAGGGATCTATCTGCAGCTTCATAGTTGACACCCAGATTGTCACCATGGACCTGGACTTCACACGGCAGAGACCACAGGAGGAAAGAGGGCATCGAGCCTTGCTGGGGTCACTCCCTGCCCCACTATGAACTGTGGGGCCCACATTCCCAGAAGAGATCCACCTGGCCATCACTCCCACTGGGAAAATAGACCCCTTGGGAAACACTGGGGCACATCCACTCACAGCACTTCCAAGTGACAGGTGTGCAGGTGGAGCCCAGGTGCTGTGCTGGAGTTGCCCACTCTGGTGGTCACTGCTGTGTTTAGCCCTTGGGTGGCCCCTCCAGGTGGCTCAGTCACTCTCCTCACCCCATCAGTTGCCAGCATGCCTAACAGTCCCCACCTCTGAGGCATGCTTCTGGTCCATAGGCATCCCATCCCTGACTCTGTGACTGTTAACATGCGGTAACAGTCCCGTGTAGCCTCGTGGTGTCCATGCAGGCCCTGGGTGCCGTCCTTGGTGCTTCTGAAACAAGCTGAGGGAGCTGAGTACCGGGAGAAGGGCTGTGTGAACAGGGAGGCTGGGGGAGAAGCCAGTGGCTGCTGGGTGCCAGGAAGTAGTGAGGGGACCTGCTTGAGAGCTGAAGGGGCCTGGATGGATTCCTGCCCTCCAGAGCTGCAAAGGGGGAATCCCAGACATTTTAAGCCAGTAAGTTTACAGTCATCCGGTATAGCCACACGGCAGGGTTCTGCTACATCCTGTGTCTGCAAACTGAACTCTGAGTGTGCAGTGGGCTAGGTGGCTTGTGGGGGAGGCAGGCCTGGTGAGGCTGCTGAGGTGCCAGCTCCTCCCAGGAGCCTCTAGGCATGAGAGCATGCCTGTCCTTGGCTGGAAGGTCAGGTCACCACTCCCAAGTGGGTAGGAAGCAGGGAGAGTGGTGGTGGTGATAAAGGCTTCTAGAAGGCTGTGGCTGCCCCTGGGGAGGGCTTGCAGCCTGTGGCCCAGAGAGGGTGGACAGTAAGTGGATGGACCTGGCAGCAGACAAGGGAGTGACTCTCCTTGGTGGATGGCAGGTGCCCACCTCGAGATGGAAATAGCAGTGCAGGGGAGGTGAGCACTGGTTCTGTCTGCATCCACCTTCCGCCCAGTACACACACCTGCTCCCAGCCCTCAACTGCTGGCTTCTGAGAGGAGGCACCTGCCTCCAGGCCTCTCTGTGAGGGAAACTGCTTTGTGTTCTTTCTGGGTGCCTTTGAGCCCCGGCAGGAGCCCAGAGCCTGCTTCAGAATTGCCAAGTGGCAGTTCCTCTCTGTCCCACCTTCCTACAGCCAGGCCCAGCGTGCGACAGTAATGGCTCAGGGCTCTGTGGAGGCTGTGGGCGGCCCCACATTCACTTCCTACCCCAGCTGCCAAGCTAGTGCCAGGTTCAGCATCTGGGCTCCTATTACAGCACCTATTACCAAGGACGGTGAGTGGCTGTTGTGTCGTGTGTCCCTCTGCCCCACCCCCCTGTTCAGTTTGCTCAGTCCTTTTATTAAAGTCCAGAGGATGCTGGCCCTCCCACAGCCTCAGGAAAAGGCATTCTACAAGGGTCCAGAACATTGGCTGTTTGGGGCCTTAGTACCAAGGAGGCGTCTGGGGTACATGTCCACATCTACAGTGCATGGGCCCCAGCAGGACACCTAAATCTGCACACTGGAGTCCCTGTGGTGTAGCTGTCCTCACAACCTAAGCTGCCTCTGGGTGACTACAGCATAAATCATGGGAAACTATGCAAGTCTTTGCTGAAGAGAAATGGCAAAAGGTGGGTGCCCGCTGCATAGCTGCTGGAGTGGGACCCGGGACCTCACTCAGGCTAGCTTCTACCACTGAGCTCCATCCCTGTTTTTTTTTTTTTTTAAATGTGTTTGCACTCTGATGGGTCAGTGGTAGAGCACCTGCCTAGAATCCTCCAGTGAAGGGCACAATGGCAAAGCCTCTACTTAGAACCCCCCCAGCGAGAGGTTCTCATAACAGAGCCCCTCCCTAGGATCTCCCAATGAGGGGAATAGTGGCAGAGCACCTGCCTAGACCCGCCCCCTGTGAGGGGCTGGGCTCATGCTAGAGCTCCTCTGGAAACCCCTAGTGAGGGGCTGGGGCATGCATGGCTCAGTAGCCATGCCTGCCTAGGGGACAGGAGATGGCTGAGTGGGAAAGTGGCTGCCTAGGGTGGGGTGAAATGCAGCAGTTAGTATTTGCCTGTGTGCGGCAGCTCTGGGTTCCATCCCCAGCAGTGCAGTGAGCCACCCAAACCCCCCTGGAACACTCTCACATGGCAAGTGGGGTCAGGAGGAAGACAGAATGGAGGTGACCAGAGGTCACCTGGGAAGGTGGCAGGAAGTGATCAGTCCAGTATGTCACCTGCTAGGGCCACCTAGCACTGCAGTCTGCTTGAGTATGTCCACGGCCATCTGTCAGCAGCTCTGAAGTATGTGGCCTCATTCTGTCCTGTTCCCCATGTTTACAGCTGGTTAGCAGCCATTGCCCGGGGAGGGAAATGTCGGAGAAGGCTGCTGGCAGCGTTGCCTGCAGTGCAGTGGGGAGCCTTAGGAAAGCATTGGCCCCTAGTCTGTCTGCTCTAACGTGCATGTGTGCATCCGCACAGGCCCTCCCATCTGACATCGTACTGCCTGATTGAAAAGTCAGGTTAAGTTTACGAAGCAAGCATGAGACCCATCCTGTGGACGAGACTGACTGGGACTTCGTGGTGCCACAGGAAAGAAAGCAGAACTCAAACTTGGCTTGAGAGTCAGTGCAGTTGCTTTGCTCCTGGAACCTAACAATCAACCGGCAAAGCTGCATCCGGATGCAGATGGACCCCACATGGAGGCCGGCTACTCTCCTGTGGTTCATGTGTTTTCTTAGCTGTCTCCTTCTCTTTCTCAGTGGTCCCAGCGTAAGAACTTGGGTCATGTGCCCAAAATCTGAACCAACAGGATAGGACCTCAGGAGGCTGGTTGGTCAGGTCTGGGTCAGAGGTCTAGCCTTTAAGTTGAGATCTGCCAGACCCAAAACTAATGACCTAAGTGTGGGGTGTTACAGTTTAGTGCAGGACTCAGTGGTAGGGTGTTTGTATGTTCAAGATCCTGGATCCATCCCAAGCAAACAAACAAGGAAACAAAACCCGGTGCCCAGGATGTAGTCAAGCATCGCAAACTGGCTGCTGTAGAAGCCGGTCAGGCAGCCTGCCCAGCATCACTCAGAACAGGGCTTAGACACACCCCTCTGCTGACTGTCTACGGCTTACTGTCCTTGCTATGCAAATCAGTGACCCTCAACCCCAGCAATTCAAACCCAAAACAGAAATGAGTTTTAAACTATAGGTGGGTCTGCATTCCACCCCAGACAGAGAGGGCAGATACTGTGGGGGTGGGGATGGGGTGGAGGGCACTGAAGACCTGCCTGTGCTGCATGCAGTCAAGACAGCCCACACAATCCTGGAAAGGTGATGGACAGGAAAGGGGTTTAGGCTCTGAGGACCTGATGGTGACTTGGAGCTGATCAAGCAACTGCTGAGGTCTTGGCTGGAGAGGCATGAAGAACTGGAAAGAGCGGAAAGTGGGGATTCCTGGAGCTGGGCCTGGCTTGCTCCCCTCTCTCCCCTCCAGCAGTCCTGGCAACACAGAAATGACCTCAGCGGCTGCTTGGCTGGCGGTGCATGCGGAGGAGCATGAGAAACACCCTGGCCCTGGGAGGGCCACGCTCTTCCTTTCCTGGTGCAGCGACTTGTTGTGGCTGTCGGTTGTCACTGGCATGTGGACAGTCAGGCTGTCCCGGGGCACCTGGCTGCCACCGCTGTCCAGGGGAAATGGCCCGTCCTCCTTTATCCCTGCCTCTTGGACATCTGTGGCTTTGCTATGCAGAGGGATCCCACGCCTGGCCAACACCAGACTTATCAGGGAGACCAAGGGAGACTGGGAGAGGGGACTTGGTTTGCAAGAAGTGGCAGGGGAGTGAACTTCAGATGCTGAGCATGAGTCCAGCAAAATGTAAGAACTACAAATTCTTCCCACACAAATATTGTCTGTTTTACCATTTGAGCTGACTCAACACTGCAGACTGGCTGGCTCCTGTTCGCACCCTCACTCACCTGCCATATGTAGTGTGGATGGAACCCAGGGTCTCATGCATGCTAGGCCATGCTCTGCCCCGAGCCATACCATAGGACTCTGTTAAGACAGCCATTTGGCCTCACCCACTGTTGACCTTGGCCTCAGCCATTGGTGCCAACTCAGAAACTAAGAGGCATGCTCCCACATCAGCCCGTCACTTCCGGCTGCCCAGGCCCTGCCTGCTCTCACAAGCTACATGAGCATGTCTCTTGTCAGCAAGTTCCTTATTCACTTCCTGTTCCACAGCCATGCCATTGGCATGTTGGGGGGCAGTGGGGACACATGGGAACCATGCACTCTGAATGTCTCTGCTGAGAACCCCAAGTGGAGAAGCTCTGGAGCCCAAAGGTTCCCTTCCAACCCTGAGCACAGAAATAGTCTCAGTGTGTTTCTCTCCTCTGTGGACCGACTTCATGGGATTGCTTTCTAGAGGAGTTGGGTTTGCATTCAGACCTAACGCAGGGTTACATAAGCAACCTGTCATTCTGTCCTGCTCTGGGCAAGACCCATGGGCCACTACTCCCAAAGCGTGTTCTGAGAATGGCTGACTATGTTCTTATATCAGTTGACCTGTGGCTATCTGGGCCTCTGGCTAGCCTTCATTTTGGGAAGAGAACTGTGTGTTTTCTCTGGAGACGAAAGACCAATGTCATATCTGTGAATCTCAGGGTCTGTAGCTCTCTTCCGTGTCCTCTAGCCCATGGGCTTGAGTCAATGTTTTGATCGACACGGGGCTGATTCTTTGCTGTCCCCTAGTCTAGCATTTGACTCTTAGGCAACAGACTCCAAAGCATGACGAACATCCGGTCACCTGGTTGGTGGCAAAGGTTAAGCCGAGCATGTTTCCTGACAATCTCGGTGGACTCAAAACCACAGCAGCAGCATGTGTGAGGTGTGGCTTGGCAGTAGGCTTTGGTAGGCAGTGAGCTAAGAGTATCCCTGTCCTTTGCTAACCTGGGAGCCCTCACTGGCTGTCGGCTCTGTAGGCAGCTGTGACTAAAGCAAAGGCCCTGGTCACAACCACCGGGACTCTGACAGACTTCGGGTGATAGCAATAATGATGGATTCCCTGGACCCTGACCTACTACTACCCTGATGGTGACTGGTAAGACCCTAATGATGCCAAGCAGGTGTGCAGACTGCAGGCTGTCTCTTGCTCTGGGACAGCATCAGAGGCCAAGCTGTGGGGCTCAATGGCTGTGGTCTCTGGTGAGACAGCTACAAAGTTTAAGATGACTTCATTCAGACAAATGGCCATTTGGTTACTCTATTCCAGAACACAGAGAAGACATCATGTAGCAAAGTCACAGACTTGAGGGGTACAGAGTCTCTGGTCACAGCCAAAGGGACACACTAATAGGCCAGAAGTCCCAGTAGATAACTGGAAGGGGAAAGAAACCTAAGAAGTTCCCAGTAACCAAAGGAAAGAGGGCTCTCATGGGGACAGGAGGCCACTCACGCTTCCAGTATGGACCACGGCAGGGACTGGGCTGTCCCACAGTACACCTGGGCCCCACTCAGCCTGGCTCCAGCCCAGGCAACGTCCTCATCGTCCTGGAGCAAAGATGAAATCCAGGGCCTGCCGTTCGGCAGCTGCCACGTTGGGGTGCCAGAGATCCACCATGAAGACCGCCCGTGGGCCATCCTCAGCGGAACCTGGGGAGGAGGAGCATAAGGGGGTCAGGGTGGGGAGGAGGAGCATAGGGGGCCAGGGTGGCCCTGTACACTCATGTAGGCCGAGCTGTAGGCCTATGGGCATGGGAAGGCCTCCCGTCCCAGATGGAGAATGTTCATAAGGTCTCTCCAATGTCTTGAGGAAAGCGAATGAAAGAAAAACAGGGAGGGAATCTGGGAAGGCCAGTGGGACTGTCATTGCGGACACAGTCCGCATACTGTTGTCCCAACCCACAGAATGTCTGACACTGGGAATGAACCTGAATGTGACGACAGCCTTCAAGTCATGACAGCTGGTTGAAGTTGGCTCGTCACCTGTCATACCAGCTACCCATGTGGGGAGACTGCATGGGAAGGTGAAATGGGGGCCTTGGGAGTTCCTGGTCAGTTTTGTCTGGTACCCCAAAACTTCTCTTTTAAAAACAACCATAAACAAGCAGGCGGGCAAGCTCTGGGAGAGGCAGCGCCCACCTTCATGGAATGCAGTGTGCAGGAAAGAGTCGTCGAAGAGCAGGCAGCGACCTTCCGCCCAGCACTGGGGCTCACCCCCCACCACCAGCTCACAGCCATTGGGAGTCTTCAGACCTTGGGGAAAAACAGAGGGTTGAGAGTGAAGGTGGCCAGGGTTCAAGGCTGCGAGAAGGTGGAGCTGGGCTGCTCCGGTGGGCACTTAAAAGCTTAGGTCTTCCACACGCTCCCCTGGAGTCCACACTGTGGGCTATATGTGGGTGACTGAGGCCACCGAGATGATGGAATTAGGGATCTTTAGGATAAGGTAATGAATGGGATCTATACTTATAAAACGGACCTTTGTACTACATGAGGTCACAGCAAGAGGACGCCACGGCCACTGTGCTGGCGAATCTATGCCCACATGGCACACAAACTAGAGTCATCCAAAAGGAGGGAGCCCCAGTTGAGAAAATGCCTCCACAGATCTGACCGTAAGACATTTTCCTAATTAGTGGTTGATGGGGGAGGGTCCAGTCCATTGTGGGTGGGGCCATCTCTGAGCTGGTGGTCCTGGGTTCTATAAGAAAGCAGGCTGAGCAAGCCATGAGGAGCAAACCAGTAAGCAGCATCCTCCATGGCCTCTGCATCAGCTCCTGCCTCCAGGTTCCTGCCCTGTGTGAGTTCCTCCCTAGTTTGCTTTTGGTCATGGCGTTCATCACAGCAAACAGGAACCCTGGCTAAGACACTCACCTGGCAGCCAGAGCCTCTTTGGGCCTACAGAGCTCCGCCTTGGACCTCCAGCCTCAGAACCTTGTGGAGTCTGCCTCTGGGCTGTTGTGTTTGTTCAGTCAGGGTCTCACCGTGTTGCCCAGGCTAGCCTTGAACTCTCAGTTCCCCTACCACCACCCAGCTGTTTCTGTTCTTTTTTAATTTAAAACTTTGTATTAATATTGTGTGGGGTGTGCCTGACACCACATGAGTGTGAGCATTAAAGGATCACTTAGGGGAGGCGGTTCTGTCCTCCCACTGTGAGTTCCTGGAATCAAACTCAGGTCATCAGGCTTGTAAGGCAAGCGCCTTCGCTCACTGAGCCACATCGCCAGCCCTGTCCTGTTATCTGACAGCCACCCAGCATGTGGAATTGTCACACAGCCAGTCAGTCTTTCGAGGGATAGGCGGGACTGGCGAGGCCATGCTGGCTACTACCAGCCAAACTCCTCCTTGGTTGGTTTCATCTGGTCTGGGCCCTAGACAGATTGCTTACATCAGTCTAGGTTCTCATGACCTCAAGAACTCATGATGTCTCGTCCTGGGATTAATAGGAATCCAAGCCAGCTTCATCTATGCACAGCCAGCCTACAACAGGACCTCTTCAACAGACAATTCCCTGTTATTCCCACGGAGATCAAGGACCCATTTTTCCCTACAAGTTACTAGCTGGCCTGAGAAGGGAATGTTCACAATGACACAGTGTGCACATTCTGCACAATGCACGCACACACAAGTATATGGTACGCACATATCAGACATTAACACAGCGACCCAAACCTCCATGTCCTTCTCCCCGGCTGCCTGCTCCGCACCCCTGGATCCTGACCACATCAGTCTCCCAGGCCTGCCCCTGCTCTGCATTCCAAAGCCTTTGAACAGCACGGCAGCTGGGGATGCACTTCAGTGGCTCAGCACTTTCCCAGCATGCATCAGACTCGGGTTCAGCCCAGTACCCTGGAAATCAAAAGCTCCCACAAAGCAAGACCTTTCAAAAGAAAAGCTTCACTCCCATTCCCAACAGCCCTGAACCCCAGCCTGGCCTAGCCTGGCCTAAGTCAGCCATCTGCTCCCCTCAGCCTACCCTACCTCAGCCTTCCAGCTGTTTGCAGCCCAGCTCCCTCTATGGACTCTTGCCATAGGTTTATTAAAGCAAAGCCATGGTGTGGATCAAAGCCTACCTGGTAATAAAGCTGGCCTCTGCCTGCTGAGAACTTCAAAGGCACGAACTACTTACTTTTCTTCAAATAGCCCTGAAGGCAGGGTTGAGCACGCCCCACCCCCTGTTTTAAAGAGGAAGCTTGGCTTCCAGGACCTGACAGTGGGAGATGCCTTACTGAGCACTGTGTAGTCATGACAGCCACTGCCACACTCAGGAGACTGCCAGGCACTATGCCAAATGGCCACTTAGTGAGTTGTGTCCTCAAAGTTCTCCTTAGCGCTGGAGCTGTGTGTCCACTCTGCAGAGAGGCAATGAGGTCTATGGAGGCTCGGACCCTGTCCAGCCCGCAGCTGCCCGTGGATCCAGACTCTGGCTTCGAGCTGCCACCCTGTCCCACCTGCCTGTCAAGCCAACCGCAGCAGCCCTTTGACGATGGTACTTCTGCTTCTCAGCACAGACATCTTCAGTGCAAAGCACACCGTATCCAGAATCCCCACCCAGGGAGCAGAGGGAGCAGAACCGCTGGGGCGAGAGGGGGTGGGGGCCTAGCATCTGGCACAGGCTCCTGCAAAGTGCAATAGTGAGCCCCACCACAGCCTGCTCGGGACACTCATCTTCCGCTTTCCCCGTCTCCTGCCAGCCAGCACCGCCTCTTACAGCTGCCACCTCCTAGCTCAGCATGCTCTACTCTGTCACCATTCACCAGGAAGAAGGTCCCCCACAGCTGTGAAGTTTACCTCCATGTACCTTACTCTGCACCTAGCACTGATGGCCACTCTGAGACACACCTCCTCTGACAGATCCCCAAGGGAGAGCTGCTGCCTCACTCTGGGGCAGCTCAGAGTAGGGAAGCAGCACACTTGTAGCATAGCTAACTCATGGCTGGGCTCGATAAAAAGGCAGCTTAGCTTGACACTCAATTTGCATGCCACACACACAGCGCACACGATTCCTAGACTTTGAATAAAATGAACAGAATACTGGACACCATTGATCTGTGGTGACTCAGAATGTTTAAGCATCTTTCCTAGCCTCTCAGGCACCACTGAGGCCCTCTGTCACTGTCAGAACCCCTGTGGGTTCTGTGTCAGCCACCACAGAGAACAGCAGCCACCAGCCATAGCTGGATACATAAACTTAAGTGAAAACTTTAGCTCAGCTGTTCCACGGACCATGGCCCAAGCCCTCAGCAGCCACACGTGGCCAGCAGCTAACACGATGGACAGGGAAGATGGAGGACACTTACCGGCCTCTCCTCCAAAGTTCTTTCAGACAGTGCCTTTCCTGCCAGATCCTAGATTTAAGTTGGTGTGTGGCCTGGTGGCAGAGAGCATGTGTGAGTGCCTAGCTTCCATTTCCAGCACCACAGGAGAATGAGTCAAAGTTTGAGAGAATTAAAAAAAAAATGAGGTTCATATTCTGCCATCACCGTTGTTTATAGACCACCACCAAGAAATCAGGCTCTGAGGCTGGGGTATGGCCAAGTCTTGTAAAGCACTTACAGTATTGTCATGAGGACCTGAGTTGCTACTTCCGCATGTGAACAGGCAAGGTACTGTGGCACACACTTAGAGTTACAGGGTTGGGGAGTCAGAGAAGGGGAGGCAGACTCCCCTGGGGCTTGTGGCCAGCGAATCTAACATAGCCAGTGAGCCCCAGATTCCAGAGAAATCCTGTAAAAACAAGGTAGACAGATCCTGAGACACAAGACTCAATGCTGATCCCTGGCCTCAGCACACACACACACACACACACACACACACACACACACACACACACAAGTGCACACATAGAGTGCAGGTTAGCACTTCAAGCCTCAACCCTCTGCCAAGCAAGTGAGTGCTGGCACTATAGGTGTGTGCCACTGCACCCAGCTGAATGTGTCTGTATTTGGTCAAAGCACTCAAGAGGCAAAGGCACCTTGCTACTTGAGGCTTCCGTGACTGTGCATGCTGGGGCTCTACCCCATCCACGTACCTAGGTGGCACCGGATGCGGATGTTGGTGGGTCCATAGTGCTCCGTGATCACAGTCCCAGGACTCAGCACCGAGATGCAGGCATTCCCGAAAACATTGTTTCCAATACAGGTCCGGAGGCTGCCAAGCAAGCGGTACGTCCGTGGGCACTTCCTGCAGTTCCTGGGGACACAAACTCCCTGGTTGACAAAGTCAAAGGTGAACCACTCCCCACTGGGGGTACTGTTCGCTTTCCACCCCTGTGGGAGGCTACAATTAGAGAAGGCCTTGTAGAGTGTCTCAAACTCGCAGAGGATGGCCTGGAAGTTCCGCTCCAACAGCTCCACATCGTGCTTCTGGGCATCCCGGGAGAAGTAGGGCGTAGTGGGGAGATCAGGCAGGAAGAAGACCTCAGGCTTCTGGATGGAGGGCTGGCTGCTGAGGTAGCGGCCCTGCTCCCGGATGCCCTTGTGGATGCGGCCCATACCGGACCATGAGTACCGCTTGGCATATTCCTGCAGGTTGTGGTAAAGCTTCTGGTTGAGACCATCGTGGTGCATGCAGCGCACGCACTCGGGGGACTGGCAGTACATGGACCCATTCTGTAGCCCATTGGCATCCACTCCCTGCAGGAGGGAGTTGACAGACACATAGGGTCGGGGCTGTTCTCGGCCCACATGGTAACAGTACCACACAAACATGACCAGCAGGCAGACCACAGTGACAACGGCTGTGCTGTCACAGTCCCGTACAGACTGGATGCCGGTGGCAATACAGTCCCTCAGGCCATCCAGAGACCAGCTCCAGACCACCAGCCCCTCCAGCCACATCTTGAGGAACTCAGCGCTTGGGTGGAAGCTGGCTCAAACGATCAGTCCTCTGGGGGTCGCCAGGGTACCCACAACATCCAGGTTAGCAGAAGGTGGAAGGAGTAGCTGGAGCAGGGGGAGGCATGGCTGCCACTGTCCCTCAGTTCCTGCCAAGGGCGCCATTGATGAATGGTGAGGCCTGCTGACGAGGCCCACCAGCAAAAGTCACTGAAGTTGGGCAGAGGGTGCTGCCTTATATCCCATTAGCAAATGCAGTCAGTCAGCCACCATGAAAGGATCTTCATGGTGTCCAAACCTAGGATGGAAACCAGAAAACAGCACATTAAAGTTATGAAAAGAAAAGTCCTAAATACAAGAGTCTCGGGAGGATGGAAATGCATCATGTGACAGCAGAGGGCTGTCATAATGGCACACACTCTCTCTCTTTGCAAGCATGCTGTAAATCAGGCTAATATCACGTTGGAAAAGGAAGCGGGTGCCCTGGAGTGGCTTCTGTGGCAGATACACCTCTTTCTGCCACTCAGTTGGCCTTACAGGAAAAGTCCACGTCTTGGACTCAGTTTCCCACCTCTGAGGACAGCAGTGACGCTGCTTTGCCAGCCATTATGGGAGGTGGAACCCAAGTCACTGTAGAACACAATGTAAGCCCAACTGTGCCTCCCAGATCTCCAGAACCCAGAGTGTCCCCCAGTTCCTCTGACACACTCTGTCCACCCCTCCTTTTTCACAGTGGTGCAGTCAGGTCTGCGTCCTCCTGGAAAGCCCTCCACCACCAAGAGGAACACAGTTGGGAGCATCTCAGTGTTCCTCCTTCTTCCCTAGGGGAGAATAGAGTACAATGACAGCAAGACTGTCTCCTGCTGCCTGGACCAGCTAGGCCTGGGAAGTCTTCAGCACAGCAGAGAAGTTACACAGCCAAACTAGACATGGGCTAGACTAGGAGTGGACACCAGCTGTTTGCAGGGCATGTCCTCTCTCTAAGCCCTCTCTAAGCTTTCATCCATCTACTGGCTGGGGATAATGTCACAGTGAGTTCTCATTGTGAGAGTGACAGGCAAACCAAACGTGGAGTGTCCCAAGACTCCCACCCTGAGCAGAATGCTAGGCCGAAAGACCCCGACTTGGGGTGATGTCCACTCCTGGTCTCATGGAGAACATTTGGTGCATACTGGCACCATCCCGGTGTCAGCTGAATAAAGAATCACTTGACTATAATGTTTAGGAAGTCAAAAAAACACACATACTGAATATTCATGGGGACTCATGCTTCTAGGAAAAGTATAGGAATGGGGGAGAGAGAAGCCAGTTTCTTCTCAAGATGCAAAGCTCGGGTGTTAAGCTCCTTCGCTGGCCCCTCCTCCATGGGTGATACCAACGCTCCGCTGTTTCCACTTTAGGAAAAGGGAAAAAGCTCCGAAAAGGTGTCTTCTTTGCACTTGCTCTTCAAGCCAGTCCAGGATTCCCCAAATGAAACATGTTTCCTTCTAAACTGCAACTAAAACCGTCTTCAGCAGCAGGTTTCCTGGGTGCCCAGAGTCTCAGCTGGTTGTAAAACCGTCTTCAGCAGCAGGTTTCCTGGGTGTCTGGAGACTCAGCTGGTGGTAGTACCTGACCTATGAAACTGAGTTCCCACTAACCTGCTCATGTCAAATGCACACGCGCGCGCGCACACACGCACACGCGCGCACACACACAATGGGTGGGTGGCTAGGGGAGCTCTCCATGGGCCATGAGCCCTTCCCCTCCTCACCACAGCCTCATTCCGGACAGGGCAGACAAGAGCCCTCCCCAAGACAGAACAGTGAAAGATTCAGCAAGGAGAGACCCTAACCTCTTCAAGAGATCCAATCCAGTGCTGAGAGAGTGAACAGGGAGCTGCCAGTCACTTAGAGCCCCAGGAGGCTGGCTGTTCCTGCACCCACGGAGGAACATTCAAGCTCAGAGCTAACCTGTGACAAGAAAACATCTCTGGTTTTAGTGGAGTGAGTGGCAGCAGGAGGATGGATGGATGCACACTGGTTCTTCTGGTTCCCATCAGTGATGGGCATCATGCAGGTTCTACACCTCAGATCTCAAAGACCAGCGGGCTCCGGGGAATAAAGGCCAAATTCAATCAAGTCCAATCAAAGATAACTTCTAACACGAAGAATGCCCGGGGAGACAGTCTGCATTTGACCCAGTTAACCCGGATCAGGTGACCAGCTCAAGAGGCTTTCTGATGCTAAAGAGCCCGGGTCACCCTGAGGTGAAGCCAGGAGACTCCGGAACCCCCCTGCAAGGCACAGCACAGCAGCTGTGTGCTGTTCGCTGTCCTCTCTACCAGAGAGCCTGAGAGCTGTCCGGAGACGAGCCCTCCCCTCTAGGGAGCTTCCCTCCTCAGAGTCTCCCGCCAGTGTCACAGGCCCTGGAGCCAGGTCAGAAAGACGAGTTAATGCAGGTGGTAGTAATGCCCAGTAGTCAGGGGATGAGATGTTGAGGTAAGGGTTACCTGGAAAAGTAGGAAGGAGGGTCAGGACGCGTGACAATTCATGGGACAGGGAGGTGGGTCAAAGTGGGTGATGCTGAGGAGGAATGGGGGACCAGGAGAAAAGGGAATAGAGGAGAGGAAGAGAGGAGGAGGGGGAAGAGAGGAGGCGGGGGTGATGCTGCGGGGCGCGATCCAGCCCGAGAGGCACTCAGCATGCAGCCGGTGCTAGGCGACCGCGGGCCCTGGGCCGGCCTGGGATGCAGGCGCGGGCGCCCAGAGCATCGTCCTCCGCAGCCCCGCAGCCCTGGAGACACCGCTTACCTGCGCGGGCGGCTGCGGGGAGCCGGGCGACGCCACTGCCCCAGGGACGCGGCCGCCCCCTGCCGCGCCCGCAGCAGCCGCCCGGCCCGAGCCGCGAGCCCCGCCGAGCCGGTGCTGCCCGCGCTGCGCTCCGCGGCCCCGAGGACCACAACTCCCACAATGCCGCGCGCGCCTGGCGGCGGGGAGGGGGCGGCGGGGCGGGACCCCCGACGCGTGCACCTGCCGCGCGTGTCCGCGGGGGGTGGGTCCGCGAGCCCCGCCCCACCGCAGGCCAGGTGCGCGCCTCAGGCGCAGGGTCTTCGTGTTTCAACCGCACTGGTCCAGCTGGGTCCTCCCTTCCGCATCTCTTCCCCTCGGTGTCCTTCCCCTTGCCTCTCTTGCCTGTGATGGATCCCACACACACTTCTGAGGCTCCGCGGACACGTGGGATGAAATTGCAAATGGAACAGCCTGGAAGATCCGCGGCTCTGTGCTCCGCCTGGGCGCTGCCGGCGGGAGCTGTTGCAGACCTGGCGCCTGCCCACAGGGAGGCCCAGTCTAGCCAGCAGCGGTCTGTTCTGTCCAGCTCACAGAATGGAAAGGGAAGACTGAGCTGGGCCTGGGGACACTGCGCTGCCAGCGCCCAGGGAAGCGTGGGCTCCGAGGAACAGTGCATGGGAGTTCTGGGAGCGTGGGGTGGGATGCCAGCCCACAGCCCATCTGTGTATGTCCTCGAACCTACTGCTTTCAATCCCAGCATGCATCCCTGTCATGGCCTAGAATCCTCATTTTTGTCCAGGATCCATCTCTCAGGCCTGTCCCAGAACCCCTTGGCCCTTCACCCAGGCTTGCACTGTTGGTGGCTGAGAACCCACTTACTTCACCCAGACCTCCTGCTTCCTGGCTCAGAACCCACTCCTTCATTTCCTGGAGTCCCCACCTCTGTCACTTAAGCCCCCGTCACAACTCCAGAAGTAGACGAACATTTTTTTCCGCTTTTTATTTTGATACAATAACCCAAAGTACATTCATTAATTTACTAGGTTCTTTCACATGGCTGCTACCAAAACATCTGACAGAAAATGCTTGAGGAGGAAAGGCTTATCTGGGTTTTAGTCCGTCATGGCAGAAAAGGCATGGAGGAATGGTGGACATGGAAGTGTGAGATAGAAGCTCAGGAAACTGGGGCAGAACAGTCTATTGTCAGTCAAAGCCCTGCTTCCTGCCTGCCACTACCTGCTTCCTGCAGCCAGACCCACCTCCTGTCAGCTCCAGGATCTCCCCAAACGGTGAGGTAGACTGAGGAACAATGGGTCAAACCACCGAGTATGATTTCAATTGGAATACTCACAATTGAGAGTTTGTAAAATGCACTTAGGGTGGGTGCTGATACAAGCGTGTGACAGAGAGCTGCACACCCAGCCCTCCTGCTCCCGCTAGTAACTGGACCGAGTGGCCAGAGAAAGAACAGGGCTGTGCCCTGCTTCACGTTTAGAAAGTTGCCCAAATTTAGCCATATCCAAGGCACTTACGCATAAAGAACGCTATTTTTCATGTGGATGTCCGTATGTGCTCCATTCCTGGACTACACCATCTGCAGGGCATTAGGAATTAATATTGTCTATGAATCTTGTAATTATCTGTGACCAGAGTGATTATAGGGCTCCGTGCTTGTTTAGAGTGTTTACTTGTTCGGTGACCAGATTCCAGACACGGTTTCTGCTAACCTTTCTGGCCATTTAATTTTTTTAATTTGCTGAGAGTTTCAGAAAATGAAAACGACTCCAATCTCGGTCAAGCTCCAATGGCCTTAGTAGGTGAGTTCTGCCAGAAAAGGGTACCCAGGATTTGTCAAGGGGCCTCTGGGGGTGAGAACTGTGGCCACACCACCACTGTGCTGGCGGAAGGGCTGAGAGCAGGACTAAATGGGTCTAAATTGCCTGCCTTCAGCACTGCCGCATGGCGTTCTCCTCCCTCCTGTCTTGTTGAGGGAAGTCATTGCAGCCCACTCTAGAATCCACAGCCCATCATTACACCACCAGCGCAGCTTGGGGCCACCCATCTCCCTGCTCCTGCAGAGGGAGTGTGTGTGTGTGTGTGTGTGTGTGTGTGTGTGTGTTGTGCTGGGGTGGGGGGTTGGGAGGACACAGCTCAATCAAGGTCACAGTAAAACAACAAAACAACAGGAAGTGTTAAGAGATGGGTGTGGCTACTCTGGAATGGGATCCTGAGTGTCTGTTAAAATGACAGATGTTCATAGGTTAAGAACCAATAGCTTTAGCTGGGCGGTGGTGGTGCATTTGGGAGGCAGAGGAAGGTGAGTTTGAAGCCAGCCTGGTCTACAAAGTGAGTTTCAGGACAGCTAGGGCTGTTACACAGAAAACCCTGTTTTTTAAAAAAAACAAACAACCACAAACAAGAACCAACAGCTTACTTGCCTGAATCCTAAAACTGAAAGGGCCAAGGCAGGAGGATGGGAGTTCTACACCAGCCTGGGCTCTATTGCTAGGCCCTGTCTTAAACACCGTACAAAAGAAACCCAACAGCCATTAACTGACTTCACTGTACGACACACAGCCATTAACTGACTTCACTGTAGGACACACAGCCATTAACTGACTTCACTGTAGGACACACAGCCATTAACTGACTTCACTGTAGGACACACAGCCATTACCTGACTTCACTGTAGGACACACAGCCATTAACTGACTTCACTGTACGACACTTGCCCTTTCACGATGTAATACAATAACATTTTTGAGAAGGAAAGGATGGATTCATGGGTGATCTCAAAGTTTAAGTTTCTAGGTAAATTATACAGCAAAGAAAATGCAATTACATTATGGTATCATTTTACTCTCTGGGGAGTTTGTACAAGAATGCCCCTCTACCCTCACTCATCTGTTTGAATGCTAGTTCCTGTTTAAGAAGGAACCTGGAACTGTTGCTGGAACTGTTTAGGAAGGATTGGGAGGCGTGGCCTTGTTGGAGGAGGTGTGTCACTGGGAGCAGGCTTTAAGGTTTCAGAAACCCAGGCCCAGTTAGCTCTCTCTCTCTCTCTTTCTCTCTTTCTCCTACTTACAGAAAAGGGTGTAGGTGCCCAGTTATCATTCCAGTGTGATGCCTGCCTCCCTGCTCCCAGCCATGACTCACCCTCTGGAACTATAAGTTACCTTGGTTGTGGTGTCTTTACAGAAACAAGGAAGCAACTAAGACACCTGCTTAATGTGCATGTGCAGGTCTGTGTGTATATTCCTGTGGCAGCAGAAGAGGAACACATGTGTGCTCTCTTACATAATGCTCTGTGTTCATACATGCAAAAGATATCCCTTGGAGGAGGAATGCCGAAATCATAGGATTTTTAGGGTCGTGGAAAGCTAAGGGGAAAAGGACTTGGAATGGAGGGCAGGAGGAAACCCCGAATGTTCTATGGTGTCTACCTCCTTTTCACACACACTTTTTCTATGCAGCCCAGGCTACCACTCAGGCTATTAGGCATGGTGACACACACCCTTACCCACTGAGTCCTACTGACACTTGGTGACACACACCCTTACCCACTGAGTCACCTCACTGTCCTACTGACGGAATTATTTTTATTGATTTTATTGAGCTATATATTTTTCTCTGCTCCCCTCCCTTCCTCTCCCCTCCACTTCTACCCTCTTCCATGGTCCCTATGCTCCCATTTACTCAGGAGATCTTGCCTACTGACAGAATTTTAAAACTTGTCTGTAAACATACAGAGAACAATTTTGGCAAAATTCATAAACTAAAAACTCAGAGCAAAGTAGGAGCAGAAGGGAATGGCAGAGAGCACGAGACTACCTGCAGTGTAGTAAGTGCTTTGTGTGTGTGTGTGTGTGTGTGTGTGTGTGTGTGCGCGCAGAGAGAGCCCAGCATAAGGCACTTTTCTAATAGTGGTTGGAAGTTAGAAAGCTTTAATACTCTTTGTTCTGGGTAAATTTTCAGAGTAGGATGTGTGTGTGTGTGTGTGTGTGTGTGTGTGTGTGTGTGGTGTGTTCAGGAATGTTCTTTGCATTTTTAATGAGAACATATGAGCCCAGTGAACATTCATGGAGAGAAAAATGAGGCACAAATCAGGAACAAAATTCAGCGTTCTGGAAAGATCTTTAATGCATGTCTGTAATCCCAGAACTCAGGAGGCTGAGGCAGCAGGATTGCCACAGGTTTGAGGCCAACCTGTAATACAATAGTTGAGTTAGAACAAATTCTGTGTTGGTGTGTAGTATAAAGTGTAAAAACATATACTAATATTTATTAACAGCAAAAACATTGTGTGAGACTGAGCAACACAAATGCAGGTTAGCAGCTACTGCTAAGGGATAAGAGGGGCAGAAGTAATACATATGGGATGCAATGGCCGAGGAGATGGCTCAGGAGTAAGTGTGCTTGCTCTACAAGCTTGGCCTGAGCTTAGATCCCCAGGACCCACATAAGTGCCTAGGCATGGCTGTATGTGAACCTGTAACCTCAGTATTTTAGGGGGCAGAGACAAGAGGAGCACTGGGGTCTCTGGCTGCCAGCCAAGCTCCGGTGAGAGATCCTGTCTCAAGGGACTAAGACAGAAGGCGATAGAGCAAGGCACTCCTCTGGCCTTCATGATTGTGCACACACACACACATACACACTTGTGAATGCATATTCCACACACATATACACATACACATAATGACCAGAACTGAGGCTGGAGAGATGGCTCCCAGGTTAAGGGTACCCACTGGCAGAGGACCTGGGTCTGAGTCTCAACACACACATGGTGGCTCAGAACTGCATGTGACTTCAGTTCCAGGGGATGTGATATCCTCTTTTGGCTTTAGCAGGTACCAGGCATGCATGTGGTGTGCAAGCAAACATGTATACACATAAATAAATAAAATTAAATTTAAAAACTATCAAAGTTGTGAAGCAAAATGTTAAGATTTGATAAAGTTGAGCACGACATGTAGTTTGTTCGATTTGTCTCTCTGAATGTTGAAATGTCACAAGTGATAACGGGGCGACCTGACTAGGGAAGGCCAGTTTTTGAAAGTTTGGGTTGTGGGTTTCTAATGTGGTGTGAGTTGTTTGAAGCACGAGAGTGGTCACTGTAGTGTGGTTCAACTTGGGGTGCTGGTGCCACCTTTGGGGTTGCTGGTGATTCCCTCTGAGTGCTGGCTTTCCGTCAGTTTTTCACTCACTGTCTCTCTCTCTCTCTCTCTCTCTCTCTCTCTGTGTGTGTGTGTGTGTGTGTGTGTGTGTGTGTGTGTGTGAGAGAGAGAGAGAGAGAGAGAGAGAGAGAGAGAGAGGGAGATATGGGTGTTAGTATTCAGGCATCTCTACTGGCCTGATCTTGGGTGTATATCCTCAGGTGTAGCCACTAAGAGATGTAGCCACCTATGTACATTCACTATGTTCCCTTTTAAAAGGGCCCTGCCCACCTCCTATCACCCTCCCTCCCTCCCTCCCTCCCTCCTTCCCTCCCTCTCTCCTCTCTTCTCTTTTGCTACTCCTGTCCCCAGTGGCTGGTCTCCCCTCTCACCTCCTTTTCCCGTTCACTTTCCCCCAATAAAAACCTGAGCTCGGTCGCAAGGCATCTTTCT